GCCCTCTTCCTACTTTTATATTCTAAGTTGAGAACAAATATTTTTACATAAATACTTGATTGTCACATCATGCTTGCAGCTGCCCAACTTGAGATTGCATTAAATTGGAAACCATGTACTGGTTGATTACAAAAATTTATGTACAGAATACAGAAAACTGGTCTTTCCGAAAAGCTGACACATTTACTCAGACTAATAAATGGGTTGAAAAACAGACTCAGGAACCCTATTGGCATCCAACATAGGGCAGAAGAAGTGTGAAAGTGAGGATTCCCTCCACATCCCTCCTGCCTCTGGAAAAGCCATCAAAGTATTTTACCCCAGAACTGGAGACAAATCTAGGATTCCTGGCATGATGGTGATGCCTCACGCCTCCCTTCTCTGCCCCAGAATATTCTCCCAATATCAACTCTCAGGTTGGTCTTGTTACCTCACAGCCAGCATTGTGGCTCCAAGAGCAGAGGGAAGGCACTCCAATTCAGAGTTCCAGCACCAATCCCAGAAACCTCTCTGAGGTCAGAGCTGGGATTTCAAAGTACCCTATGATCATCTAGACAGCGTCTAGGTACCATAGGCTTCTGCTGTTATTCCTAAAAGTCTGGAATACATCTGTTGCATATGCACATTTCGTAATTCATATTCTGGAGTAAAGCACTGTAACTGCTAGCTTTATAATCTGTACCTGTTTTGTTTACATTACATTAAAACATATTTTTAAAGGTATGTGTGATGCTCAATGAGTGACAGTCGAAGTGGCAATGGACTGGTTTTTCCTGCAGGCTTGTATTAGTGACTCTCTGAAGACTGCCCTCGAGAGAGCCAGGAAAGCTGGTACTGTAGCTGGAAACCTCATGCCAACTCCATCAATTCCATTACAGCTCTTGGGTGGTGGGGAGAATTGGATAGCTTTCAGCCATTTCGCTATGCTATGTAACATACTGTAACAGTGGGCTGAAACTTCACCAAATCAGACCAGATTTTGGAATAAAGTGGAGATAGACTTCCCAGCAAAAAGGAGTAAAACCAGATCGTATGCCCCTTTTGTTAGAGCTCCCACCAAGGGTTCTTTGACTAGATGCAGGGTTCCTAGAGCTATGGACAGTGGATCTGAGACATGTACAATCATAGCATTATACCGTGGGAAGGGGCTGTGCAAGCTATCTTGTCATTGATAACCATTGAACCCATTCCAATGGGTTTACATCCTTCTTAAAGTTATCTAGAATGGGACACAGAAGATGTCATAGAACAACATAAAGTGAAATTACTCACTGTCACTTGAAAATGATGCAGCCCCCCCCCCTTTTTTTGGCAGGTGCATTACACTGGTGATTCATCCTTATGTTCTGCTAGATTATAATCTTGTGTTTGTTTTCACATGTACTACTGTGAAGCCAGGTACCCCCTGGCCCTGCCATCCTATATCTATGCATCTGATTATTCTTGTTTTGCCTGTAAGCAGACCATTATATTTATCTCTGTTGAATTTAGGTTCAGCCCGGTTTTCCATTCTGCCTGGGTAATTTTGAATTTTATCCCTGTCTTCTGAGGTACTAGCTATGCTTTCCAGTTTGATGTCACTAGGCAGAGCAAAGCAAGTGCCCTAGGTAGTGGGTAGCATGTGATGGGAGGCAGCCCTGGCAAGCCCTAAGCATTTTTCCTGAACCCTCTTTGGAAGATAGAGCTGTGTCTGCCCTGCACCTCTTAAACTAGCCTGCTACCCTAAGGGGTGAGAAAACTATCCTTGTTGCCAGTTCTGGAGTAAGAGTCACCCTGGCCAGTCTTGTTAGCATGGAGTGGAGAGGGCAACCATCTTGTCCTTCACCACAGGGACCAAAACATGTTGAGGCTGCCTTGCTGATTCTCCCCATCAACTTTTCACAAATCATCAATACACATCTTGAAGAATACCAGGACCAAGACTGAGTCTGGCAGCACTACATTCAGAACCACTTTCCAATTTGATAAGAAAACATTGACCTGGATTGTACATAGCCCTAAGCATGTGCGCTCCTAAATCATAGGTTGTTGTTACATGTAAACCCTGCACTACAGTTTAATTATGGGCTGTAAGCACAACAAATCATCCAGGAAAAGAATCCATTATTTGTTGTAGTACTGTTACCTCTGAATTGTTTGTGGTCAAGAAACTATAGTCAGTATTATCATCCAGCCCTCATTTAACAAGTTTACTAACCAAAATATTGTGGGGAACTTTATCAAATGCACTGCTGAAATTAAAATAAATATTTTTTAAATTATTTCCATAGTCTACTAATCTATACAAAATTTTTAAAATGAATCAGTCTGGCAATATGATTTTTTTACCAATCTGTGCTAGCTTCCACTAAGCAAGATGCTTACTGACTCCTTTGCAATCTGTTCTCATGCCTCTGCCCAGTGTGAAGTTTCCCAGATCATACCGTCCTCTCATTCCTTACAGAGACTGTGACATATGTCTGTGTTCTCAAAGATAATAGACCAAGGCTGGGAGAGGACCCGAACAATTTTCTTTCAAGCCCTCAGATGTTACTAACCTGTTTGTGAAAACAAACTAATTTAAGCTAGCTTTTTCTGGCGAACCCCTTATCAGCTTTGAACTGAAATCTTGTTTCCTTCACAAGTCAGGCTCCTTATGCAAAGCTGCAGGCAGCTCCCCTTTTGAGAGGGGATAGAAGCATAACAGAATTGAGTAGTACTATCTCCATTGAGGCTGCATTCTTATGCCCACTTGGAAGTAAACCCAACTGTAATCAGTGCAGCTTGCTTTTGAGTAATTGTGCATAAAATTCTGCCATTAGGCTCTCTTTCAGCTTGGGATGAGGAGTAAAGGGTTAAGCTAAAAGCTTTGCAAAGGATGTGGGTATTGACATGTCTAAAGGCTTAGAGATACAGCACCAAGTTGAATGCGTTATGAATGGAAAAAAGCTCGTATTGCCCATACTATATAACAGATAAAAAGTTGTTTCCTAGAAGTGTTGGGCAAAACAGTATGGGAAGAGATACAGGGGCAAAGAAGAGAGCATAATGAATACAGGGGAGTCAGAGACCTTTAAGTAGATAGTTGAGAATGGGATAAAGTGACATAATAATGTGGATAAAAGGAGCCCATTTGGGAAATCCAGAGAAAGTAGGTAATAATGGGGACTGCGCAGGGAGGGGAGAGAGACAGGAAGATAGATATATTGGCCTATGAAGGCACCTGGAAAATTTGAGCTAAATTTTAGGAATGAACTAATGAACATTGCCTGGCTGTTTATACGGCTCATATTTCTCTTGTTAAGCATTGCCTGGCTGGTCCTATTATGTCATGTAAGAATAGCAAGCATTTGGAGCAAAGCAGAATCTCTTTAACTCTGAAGAACAGCCATAAATGCCATCTTTTAATGGCATTCTGCATAAAAGCTGTTCCTAAAAATATCTTTATTATTGCTATTATTATTATATTAATTCTTTTGTTTCTATACTGTCCCATTGTCAAAGCTCTCTGGGTGGTTTAGTACATAAAATCAATACAATAAATTCTACCCCAGAAGGAAAGAAGGAAGAACAGGGTTAGGTACATAGAATTTAGAGGCATTTCTCCAGAGATATTTTGCAATCAAGAACAGATAATCACAAAATCATACATACATGTCAAAGGGAACACATATACAAATCACTGATTCCTCTCTTTAAAATACACAGAAGAAGGAGAATGTTTCCCACTAAAGTGAGCTTTTAGCAAAAAAGCATCTCTTGCAATATTACACATGTGTATGCACACACCCTTCATATCTGACATAAGCATGCATTTTGCTATGGGTCTCTGTTCCAGGAAGCACCCTTTCAGTCTCATTAGTTTTGAGAAAATAAGGAACAGCTTACTAAAGTGGTACATGACTTCACTCTGATGTCAATGGAATTGTATGGATATAATTGAAGTCAGAATTCAGCCTGGGGCTCCCAGCCCTGACTTGAGCAAATTAAAGAATATATGCATTAAACCTGCAGCAAGCACAATACTTCTCAGACATGTGGCTTAGGTTTGGCATCTAGGACTATAGGATCTGCTTTATTTTTAAAACACTTCTGATATTTGGCGCATTGAAATCTTGCTCTGAATGCCACTGGTTGTATTCGATGGCAGTCCTATTTAGAGTAGACTAATAATAATGAATAAGACAAAGGAATGAGACAAATTAAACTAACATTGGATACAACCCCATGACTTTCAGTTCTTAAACCCAAATTCTTTCTACAAATAAGACCTCAATCCTTCATGTTCCTAGTTCTTCCTAACTTCCACTGAGGTCTTATGTTTTAGCTCCATGTAAACCTATTTAGAACAGATTTGTATGGTAACTCCTTTAAAAGGCACAACTTTAACTAGTCAAGAGCCTGATCCTTCAGCCCTTACTGTAATTAATCAGCGAGCAAAAGAGTCAAAGCTTATTAAAGTCAAAGACAGTTCATGGATCAGGTTCAATCTGGTTATTAGTATGTTATAATTACTAATTTACTTACAGTATAAACATTTTTATACATGTGTTATGAATCAGCTTGTCAGATCTTTCTGGGCTCATAGCCAATGGACAGGGTTGAAAATACTGAGAAGCTTTTCTAAGTGCCTTAATGTTTATATATGCAGACTTAAGCAATGATTGCCTACCAATAAAAATCATATGTAATTAATAGCTTTGGCATTTTAAACCTATGCATAATACTGATCATAATTGTTTCCTTGCATGTTTTCTAGTGCCTGGACATCAATTGATCACATTAATGACAGTAGGGGATTTAGACCCAAAACACTGCAAAGTTTATACCACAATTCCAAAAATCATAGTAAACATTCTTGAATCAAACTTTCCTACTCACTTCCTTTTTGTTCAGAATAGACATATATGTCATTCAGCACTTTGCCCATATTCAGATTCTGATTAACAACGGAATCTTTTTAAATCATCTGCTTGAATGTTGGGGGAAGAGTTATCCATATGAAATTTAATACAGCTGGATGCAAAAAGAAACAGTTTATTTGTTGTAACTTGTTCAAAGTGGGAAGACAGCATGTTTCCTTCTGTCTATCCCAAAAATGTCCCAACTTGTAAATTAAACAGCTTTCAGTATATGGGCAGCACAATTACTGAATTTTCAGTTTACATTTTAAATTTACATCAGAAACCATATACGGTGAGGAATGAGAAGCAGTTCCTACCATGCATTGTTCTTTTGGTTAAGTGGTTGGGGCTGCAGAAAAAAATTGTTATTACAACTTCTGGATTATAGGCCATAGGATCCTTGGCAGAGTATATTCTGAAGCTCTACTTCTCTTTGCCCTTCAATATAGTCTCTTCTCCAACTGGAATCACACAGGTTCACTCCTTTCCACTGCAACACTTTTGAATCAACAGTGCACTAGGAACTCTATAGGAAACTAAGGCACCTGGTTATATCCAGGACCCTGAAACACTAAAACAAAATGTTTCTCCCAAAAAAAAAAACCTCTTACTTTCCTTACTACGTGCATGTCAGTGTTAAGGGAGAGAGATGCCCTCCTGATCCTAGTTATGCAGCATTACTACTATCTCTCACCACCTGCTCAAAGCTCCCTACATCATGTTCCTGTATTGTGCAGTGATTTGCACTCGGACCAATACAAAAGCATCAATTGCTAACCTAAGATGTGCGTGTGGTGAATGCACAGTAGAATTCCCAGGGCCAGAAGGCAGGGAAAGGATAATTATTATGAATCAGAGACTGAATCAGTCTCTTGCCACTGTGCAGAACAACACAAAATCAAATAGGAGAAGTTTCCGCTAAGAAAGGTTAAATGGCCAGCCTAAGAACAAAATCTTTATACAGATTTGGTTTCTAAAATTAAGCAGAGAAGGCCTTAGCTTAGCAGCCCTTTAATGTGAAAAGCTTTTAAGTGAGGATATTCATATGGGAATTAACACAATGGGTTTGCAGCTGCAAAACTAAAAGAAACAGTGTACAACAAAGACATCATGCAGCACAGGAAAACACAATAAGGAGAGTAAGATTATTCAGTCAATATTTTTAAAAATATTTTTGAGAACTGGCAAGGTTATATTTTATGTACCTTTAGGCATCATCTTAGAAAAATGTTGATATTGTAGCAATTTGACTGAAGTCTTACAGCTGTACAAGGTCTCTATTCTACCACATACATTTGCAACATTAGAAGATACAGGAATTAAGTCTCTAGACTCCAAGAATATCATCCTGAAGCTCATACATGCTAATCCCCTCAACAGCTTTATGAAGATGGTGGGAGGCCAAGAACTTAACAATAATAGGGCAACATAGAATTTTCTTGAGTTTGTTTCACCAAGATATATTAATTTCAACCCAAAATGTAAAACTTTCACAAATTTGAGGGCAAATCCCAGTATTAGTTAACATATGATAATAAAGCTCTCTTCATAAAAGTCATACTATTAGATGGAAACCCCACATTAACTTAGAGTTAACCAAGGAAATTAATCAGATCCAAAGGTTATCTTCCCATTTGCACAATTTGAACCTATACATTTCTGTGAGACATTAATTTTTCTTTCATTTCCACTCAGTTGCAGGACTCTTGCTTGAAGAATTTAAGTCAGATCACTGAGATAGTAGGTCAAGGAAAAGCATGCCATTTTTATTGAGACATACTCCCCTAAAGGTCTGAAATGAGACAAAATTAATTCTGTTCCAAAGAGAGAGAGAGATTGTTGCTTTAATGCAAAACATCTGCAATTTGGAATACTGGGATGGAGCTGCTACTTGGACAGATTATTTGGCAAAACAGTTGCTCACTTGGAAAAAGATCTTACAAAAGCTTCTTCATCTGATTCCTGCAACGGGCACCTGCTGCTGTTTTCGAATCTTATTAAAGAGTTCCATGTACTGAATCATTGTGTCACCTGGGCTGTAGATGCTGTCATGCTTATTGCCAAACCCAGAAGGGACTGCAGGAGCTTGATTTCCCATGAAGCTTTGCATGAATTCTAGTAACAGGTTCCAGCAGTCATTGGCTACCACACATGGGCAGTATTCCACCTGGCAACAGAAACAGAAGCTTTGAAGTACAGAGCAACCAACAATCTAATTCTCCTCCCAAATTTTCAAAAAGCCTAATACTTCATTGCAGTGAAGTCCTCTTCCATTCCTTGTAGACAGGATGGAGGAGATAACTTGCCAAGTGAACAAAATGAAATCATAGCTGGGGAGGAGGAGAGGGGTAATGAAGGTGGTGAGAATCTGAACCATTTGAGAATATTAAGAAAGCTGCTCTCAAGTTTTAGCTACATTTATGTTTCAGACTACTACTTACCACAGTAATATTAGAGCACACTCAAAAGCAAGGGCTTTGCCACTGGATTGTGAAGGATTCCAAAACTTCCAGCTCTGAATATTATAAATTAACCTTCTCTTTCTGACATATAGCCAATAAAATTAAAAATTTTATGCATAAGATTAAACTTAGCCATAGCAATATAAAGCTTACAATAGAAAACTTTAAAACCCCTAATGTATGATGTCTGGATGCTGATCAATTCCAGTTTAGCAACCCTGTACAATAACTGTACCACAGTTGAGAATGGATAAAAAAAGGTTTCTCTAGGTCTTCACTGCTACTTGTTATATGGAGAAGCAGTTCTGGCCAATTAGAAATAGTTACACAGCACAGGAAACTGTTTCCATGGTATAAAGAATCCATGTTGGTGGCATGGGTTGACACATATGACATGATAAGCCACACTGCATCAAAAGCTGCTTGACGTGGCTTATAAGCCACCCTAATTGTGAAGTACCCAAAAGCCAATCGGGTATATTGTGGGAAGGGCCATCTCCTTCCCTTTTGGCCCTCCAGCAGGTATCACAGAGGACATGAGAGGAGGAATGTTTTGAGTGTGCTGTTGCTTTTTTTCTTTTTTCATAATTAATTCTTTTTAATTCAGATTGCAAAAACCAGCTATTAGTCATGTGTTTTTGATAGCCACAAGTTGTCCCTCCAAAGTGCTCCAGCAGCACCTGATAATGTGGGGGGTTTTTTTGCAAAATTTTCCAAAAAAATTGTTTACTTTATTACCATTTTATACAGTTGTGAGGTTTCATTTCTTTTTTGTTTATGTTTAGCAATAACGTGACGAATAATAAACCTAGAGGATCTTGCCAGAAATGGGATGACAGACTCACCACTTCCTTTTGGTAAGCAAAGCTCTACTCATGAAGTTACTTTTACCTGACAACTCACTATCTGACAGCTATCAAGTTAGCACTAAGTAACAAATTCACCAATTTGCAGCCTTACCTTGTCAATGTCCACAGGTGTTACCTAATGCATTTTGACAGCACATCAAATGTCTGTCAAATGTCCTGGGCAGCCAGCCAATGTCCTGGCTGCCCAGGACATTGAACAGGAAGGGTTTTTTTCTTTAGGGCCCCATACGTGCACAGGTGCACACTTGTGAAAGAGTGGAGAGAAATATATAATTTCTGCAAATGCAGAAACTTTCTCCAAAACTTGGGAGGAAAACAAGCACAAAGTACTCCTGGAATCCAGGGAAAAAATCTGGTGCAGTTTGAAGCTGCTTGCCAGAATGGAAACAGGGTACAATTTCATCAAAACAGAATACGCAGCACTGCACATCCCTAATCTCTGTATTTAAGCTCAGACTCTGCTAAACATTCTCCATGTGGTTTACCACAGGCATTGGACTAGCCCTGTTTAAAAATGAAAACCATACCCGGAAATTGGCACAGACTACTCACAAACAGAGGCTGGAGAATTACATTCCCTCAAGTGCACTTTGATGAGTATGATTCAGAGCCAAAAACAGTGCATCTTGCTCACTGAGAAGTTTCATCTGCAAACAGGACGAGGCCTTTGGGAACACTTAGAAATATTGAAATAAATGGACCTAGCTGCCAAACCAAATATCTATTAGGATGTTGTCATACGTGAGGTTTTTTGCAACAAAAATATTTGCAAGGTCCAAGATGAAAGCATCCAGTTCTAAGGATGCTAAATGGGGTGTGTTTTATGCAAGAAATGCTTGAATGCACATTATCAAAAAGATCTTTAAGTCTTTTTAGGGTGGGGGGAATCTGCTTTTCCTGGTACTGGGCCCAGCTCCTTGGTTAAATGTATCAAGAGCCTTTATGACAATGACCCCCTCCCCACCAAGGCTTGCTGCAGAAGGGCAGATCAGTGGGGCCAGCCACTGTTGTATGATGGCAGCCATTCCTAGCAACCCCCCGCCACGCACATACATATGTAAAATATGTAGAGAGGGTTCAGTGCTCTCAAAATACAATCCCCCCCACCCCCGTCGGACACTCCAGATTTAAAGGAGGAGGTGGAGGGGCAGAGTTGGACAGTTTTGAGGTTATCAAGTGAGGAAACTCAGAGCATGAGGACCTGCATGCCTAGGAAAAGGAGGGAGGCATTTCAGAACTGGCAGAGATAGAGACTGAGAGGGAATTCTTGACCCTATAAGGAGATGATAGGCAAAGCAGACCAATGAAAAAGTGTCCAATGTTCTTGCAGTCTCTCTCTCAGAAAGTGGGAGCCACCCTGAGAACAGAGTCAGGATCTTTCTGAAAGGGAGGGAAGGAGGCGATGTTTCACTTTGAGTGAAACTCTTCACATGGGCAGACACTACTCCCACCTATCAAAGAGACTGTTACTTTGATTTATGCTATTTGTAACCTGTAGAGCTCAAATAAAGGACTGTGCTTCTAAGGTTTCATCTAAGTCTGCTGGAGAGGGAAAAGTAAGGGAGAGTTCTCTTCATGAAACACTCAGCTTCCGAGTCACTGCTGGGGACAAAGTGGATGACCAACTGATGCAGCTAAGAGAAATTTCTGTTCTGATTTTTAAGATCTTTCATGGCTTAAAATGAATTCCCCGTCTGTGTCCTCAAGCTGTTGTTTGTCTCCATTCCACCAAGAAATCAGTCTGGAATAGCAAATCTATCCAGCTTTTACTTCCTTCATACACAAAGCGTATATTCAAATAGCTCTCCAACAACTCCCTCCTGAAGGCATACATTATATAATGCTACAAAACATTCTGAACAATAGTTATGGAGCTAATGGGCTCTAACTACTGCTTAATATGTTGACTATAATGGGAACACATATCTTAAAGCCAGTCTGTCCAGCAAATTTACTTACCTTCTTGGGTGCAATTCTGCACAAAAGGGGAATTAAGTCTTTGCAAAATGTGTGTGAAGGGAATGAATACAACATAGCAATTTTCTTTTTGAAAGTGAGTTCCGTGACCAAGTTTAGGATAGGGGAAATCTGGACAGGGATATGGGAAAGGCATGCACAAAACTCCCAATCCCTACACCAAATTCCCAATCACTGATGAAATGCCCATGTGGGCAACCCATCTGCCTGCTCGGAGGAAAGGAGTCAGCTTCTGCAATCCCTCCATGGACAGGTGCTGTGCCTGCAGCAGCCTGGCTCGAACTCTGATTCTCTAACAGCCAGTTCATCTATTACGGGATGCTCAGCCAGTGACATTTTTGCCTTTTTCATACTTCAGGGGCATCCTTACCTCCACAGATATTCCACGAGCGCTGGGCCCCATGGTAACCGTGCCAACCTTCACTAAAAAGTCGCAGTACTGATACCGGGTTCCCCGGCTCTCTATCTTGTTCCCTTTGGCATTTTGAAAGAAGCCTTTCAGTTTCACCATAAGGACGTCGAAGTTGGCATCTGCTATGAGGCAGGGGCCATTTTCAAAGAGTGCAAAGCAGCTGAGGGGATATTCGGAATTGTGCATCACGTACATCAGCTTGGCAGCCTGCCCTGAAACAAGAGCAGCATTATTTTTGCTTCAAGAAGGATATTCCTTCCCTCTTAAATGCTTTAAAATGAAACATCTGTTACATCTTTCTTTGTCCCTTTTTCCCTACAAACCACTGAGTCTATTATAGAACCTCTAAGTTATTCATTAGTTATTGACATTGCGCTGGTTGCTCAATGGCTTTTTATGTAAGTAAAATGTAATTGACGTTGTTTGACTAAAAGATCCATTATTCTGAGATAAATTAACATTTGTCCATCCTAGAGTATACCCTTCAAACAGGAATGCATCAACTTAACCAAGTCACAGAAGTATATCGCACAATCGTTTGGCAAGTTGGCATTAACAGGGGTTCAAATATAATCTGACCATAAAATGGCTTTATTATACCTTGACTATGTCATTATGTGGGTATGTATGTGGGCTCTCCTAGTACAATAAGCATTGTAAGTGCCTTCAGAAACCTCGATAGGTAAGGCTGAAACAAGTCTCCATTAGGAAAAAAAGAGGTGTTAAGATGAGCCAAGGAGGCTCTGCAGTCATTTAAAACCATTCATTTCATAAACCACCTGGAGCACATGCGCAAGGCATTGCTATCAGGCAGTACATAAATTCTACAAAATACATTCAAAGTATTCGACCCTTCCCTGCAATGCTCCTCTCCCCACAAAAGTAATTCCCAGTATCACTTCCATCATTGCATCCAATTACATACTAAACAGGCAGAGAAACAAGAATGGTTATTTTAACAATGATAATTTTCAAGAAAATATACTTTAAGAAGTTAGTCTACCTGTACCAGAGACTGAAAACCACCTCAGTTACCTGGCAGAAATATGCCCTTTCTCTAAACAAATGAAATTTAGCATGTGAAGTAGAGCCTTCAGTTATTTTATTATCATTACGGCTTTCATTTCTATACCATCTAATAGCCAAGGCTCTCTGGGCAGTTCGCAATGTGTAATAATACACATGTGGTTATGTTACAAGGAGCTCCGATCTTTGATCTTGAAACTAGTGTTACAAACATGCTTTTTCCTTTATCTGTTAAATATTCAAGGATATAGTTTAACAATCCAGACTAATGCAGAAGCAAGCACTTTCATCACTGCCTTGAATCATAGATCTAAATGATTTGCAACAATATTGGCTACAATAGTAGAAGTGTTTGATTGGAATGTGGTCTTGAGTACACTGTGTAACTTCCTGTTAAGGAATACTACACACCTTGGCTTTTCTCCTAATTCACTGGGAGGGCCACAGGCTGGTACATATTGGATTTACCTTTAGAAGCTTGTACTAGTTTTTCAGATACAGCCATATTTATTCCATACCATAACCTTCATTTTAAGAATATTCCACTATATTATGCAGCACCATGAATGATGGAGATAAACCACCTTTCTGGTGCAGCACAGAAAAGAATGGGGGGAGAAAAGAAGGCTGTTCCATGTAAGTAGATGAGCTATTCTGAAATATGAAATAGAAGGTACACCAAGAGAAAGGTCTAAAGAATCTTGTGAATTTATTTATGGAGGCAAGGATTGTTTCAGTTAGTTAGTCTACAGGGAAGTTGACAGCTACTGCATCCATGCACATCTAGCTAAAGAAGAAAGCAAAACCAAAAATTATGCTGGAATAACATGCCACAGTTGCATCTGTGTTTAACTTTTCACTACTAGATGATACAGGGCATTGCTTTAGCACTGCTACTCAGGAATGAGCACTGAAAAGGACTTCTGGTGAGCTGTACCAGACCACTGGAATTTCCTTAAAACTCTGGATTTGAGGGAAAAGAGGGGACACTTCATAGTGGTATACAAAATAATACTTGGTGTGGAGAAAGTAGATAATTATCTAGGATCTGGGTCTTCCCATGAAACTGAGTGATGGGAGATTCAGGATGGGTAAAAGGACACACAGTGCATGGTTGAACCATGGAATTCACTTCCACAAGATGCCACAATGGCCACCAATTTAGATCATTTTGAAAACAGATTGGATGCATTCATGGAGAATAGGGCTATCAATGGGTACTAATCTTGATGGCTACGTGGCACCTCCAGTATCAGAGGTAGTAGGCTTATGTACAACAGATGCTGGGGAGCATGGGTACTTCAGAGTCCCTCCAACACCTAAGAATGGTGGAAGGGGATAACAGTGAGTTTTGACAGGTACTGATGCTGCTGCAATAGTTATGAAGTAAAATAGGGACCCATAGCATAATACTGAAACTTACACTGTAAGATTGGATTTGGACAAGATTGTTTTAATGCTTCTCAACTATTTCAGGATTAGAAGGATAACAAGCGGGACCTGAAACAAGGAGTTCCTGTGTGGAGTGCTCCTCTTCAGGGTTCCAGCCTGCCAGTCGGTCATGCTTTTTCCAAAATCTCTATTCCCTTTCTCCTCCCCTCACTGGTTTTCCATCTCACCTCCTGTCCCACATTCCTTTTTACTTCTGAGAATCAACCAAAAAATGGAAAGATTGAATGAAATCATGGAGGTAGAAAGGACACTGGAACACATCTAGTTTAGTTTCCTGCTCAACATAGGATTTACAATGCCTGATGCAGCTACAGGACTCCCCCTACAGGATTCCTGAAAGATGGACTTCCAAACTATTAAATGCATCCTGTAAAAGAGACTCTTCTACATCCTGGAGCATCCCATTGGCTTATCAAACAGCTCTTACAATTAGAAGTTTCTCATGTTTTGCTGAAAGCTGATTGCTAAGATTTCCACCCATTAGATCTACCACTGCCCTCTTGAGCAACAGAAACCAATTCTGCTATAATGGGCCTTTAGATATTTGAAAATGATTGTCCCCCTTTAATCTTTTCCCATTCAGGCTAAACATTCCCAGTTCTTTCAGCTGTTCCTCACAGGACTTGTTTTCCAGATCCCTCAACATCCTGTTTAGCCTTCTCTGGTCATCTTCTTTCTAAAACATGGAAAGGACTCAGTGTTCCAGATGTTGCCTGACCGGTCCAGAACAGAGTGGAACTATTACTTCTCATGCTTCTGTCAACACAACCCAAAATTGTATTAGGTTTTGCTTTTTGTTTGTGTGTTTGCTTTCAGCAGCAGCAACTTACTGCTGACTTGTGTTCAGTTTGTGATTGGCACCTGGATCATTTTCATGTGCCAATTCAGGTCTCCCACACTACTTAACTACTCAATATTACCACATCAAAAGCTCGGTACAGCCTGTGTTGTGCTCGCTCTCCTAGTGGCTTCAAAGAAGCATAGAATAATCAAGTTGGGAGGGGACAATAAGGTCACCCAGGTCCAACCTCCTGTTTAATGCAGGACTCCCAAGTTTAAAGCATCCCTAATAGATGGAGGTCCAGCTGCACCTCAAATTCCTTCACTATGGGAGAGCCCATGACCTTCCTAGGTCATTGGTTCCATTGTCGCATTGTTCTAACAATCAAGAAGCTTTTTCTTCTGTTCAGCTGGAATCTGGCTTCCTGTTACTTGAGTTGATTCCATCAGATCCTGGCCCTTCTCTCTGTGACTACCTTTCAAGTACTTGAGAGCACCATTACAGCTCCCACCAGCCTTCTCTTCTCAAGGCTAAGAATGTCCTATTCATTTAGCCTTTCCTCACAGGGTCTTGCTTGCAGTGTCCACACCATCTTTGTTGCTTTCCTTTAAACCTTTTCTCGTTTGTTTGCATTTTTCTTAGACTGTGGTACCCAGAACTAGAAGGGAATGAGTACCTCACTTAGTTCTTACCGTCGCAATAGATAGGATTATAAGTGTACAGAGATCACACATTAAGTGTATGAGGGCCATGAAGTCTACAACACCTTGTCACTACCCACTCCCAGAAAGAAGTGGGTAGTTTTTGCTGCCACCAACAAAACCCTGGATATCAAAACCACCATTCTCTATCAGACCTGAAGCCTAGCTACACGTTAGGGTCAAGCAGGCCAAAGAAGACAATATCACTCATAGGATGGAGGTTAGGTGCTGGGTGCAAAGGCTAAAGGCAGAAACATGATAAAAGTTGGGCTGGAGGGCAGGTGTCCAAGGACAAGAACACAGCAAAGACTGACCAGTAGTCAGGTATGAGGCCAGTCTGCTGTTACTCAGCCCAGAGACCACATCTTGAAAAAAGCAAAGCCCCCGCCCCCTCTCTGCCACTCACAAGTCCCTGGCTGGACGGAGGAGCTGCACTCGCAGCTCTGCCCACTGTACGGCAGTGTTGCAATATAAGAGAAATTGGTGCTGGGCATTCCTCAGTCAGAGACTAAGCTGTCCTGGTGACAGTAGGAGCAAGCTAGTCTAAGGCAGTCCATTCCAAAATCCAGCAGCTCATACCAACAAGAATGTCTTCATAGTATTTAGGTGAAATCCTCTTTCTTCTCATTTGAACCCAATGGTCCTATCCTCTGTTAGCTGATGCAGCTGCCCCTGAGCTACCAAAGGCAAATATGCCTTTATAACTGATTTACAAAAAAAATTACAAGAAAAATACCTCTGAAAATATCTCTGCAGAGAGTTTCTATTTGGATTAAACTAGCAGTTATACATGAAGCTTGATTCTATATACATTTATTCAGAAGTTAATTCTCACTGGGTTTAATGGTATTATTCTCAAATATGCTTAGGCATTAACTCTCATGGTGCTTTGCGGCTTTCATCACAGTTTTAACAAGCTTAGTGAAAGTCAAAGACAAGGAAACAACTAAAGCAGTATTTTGGAAGAGCAGAAAAATATATTAGCATATTGCCATACAAGTGATCATGAGGCTAGCTGGACTCCCAGACTTGAGGCAAAAGGACAGGTGCCCAAGCTCATTGTTGAGTTCTGGGGGGGAAATTGTTCATTGCTGGAAAAGCTACAAATAACATGTATAACTATTCTAGAATTACAAGCTCCTTGAGCCATATCCCAGGAGGAAGAGGAATACATGAAACTTCAGGAAACCTAGCAAGCCAATTACTCTCCTGTAATTGTCACTACAATTATAAAGGTAAAGGTTTCCCCTTGACATTAAGTCCAGTCATGCCTGATTCTAGGGGGCGGTGCTCATCTCCATGTCCTAGCCGAAGGAGCCAGCATTTGTCTGCAGACAGTCTCCATGGTCACGTGGCCGGCATGACTAAACACCGAAGTGCACGGAACGCTGTTACCTGCCCACCAAAGTGGTACCTTTTTATCTACTTGCATTTGCATGCTTTCGAACTGCAAGGTTGGCAGGAGCTGGGACGGAGCAACGGGAATTCACCCTGTTGTGCAAATTCGAACTGGCAACCTTTCAATCAACCAGCCCAGCAGCACAGCGGTTTAAACCACTGCGCCACCTGCAGTCCCTTTTATATATACAATTATAGCTACCTTTAAAATCTCAACAATGTTAATGAAAGCAGTATGTAGACCTTGATGATTAGTTTAAAAAATGGAAGAGTTATGCACACATGCATGCACACATACACACACACGTCAACTTTTCTGTTAGGTAGGACTCAACTGAATTTATGGGGAAGATACAGAAATCACTGAAAAGATCTCTTGCTTCCACTCATTATTAGAACCTGAATAATGGGCTAGGAATTTAACCATTTCAGAAAGACTGAGCAGCCCTGGGTTGAAGATATTGCAGCTGAATGCCACATCAGTGAATGGGAAAACAACCACCATCCAGGATTGGATTCTGAATGAGCACATCTATGTAGCCTGTTATCACAGTGACCTTGACGGTGAGACTGGGGTAGTATCTCTCCCAGTATTGCCTATCTGGGCTGTCCATGTTGCAGTAGGCAAGACCTAGAGAGAAGCGGGTAGGAATATTCTGTCCTCCTGATCAGCTGCCCCAGCCTTCCAGTTTGGAATGTGGGTACCTGAAACTTGATGACTGGGACACAGTACAGATCCTCTGTTAGTATACTGCTTGCCCTGCTGCTGAATAGTCTGAGAGTCTCCCTGGTTTGTGCTTGGAGGCAGAACATGGGACTTGAAAGCCCTGCTCTCTTATGCAACCAGTGCTCCTTCAAGTGGACATTTCAGAAGGTGGTGCTGGGGAATTCCATCACTATGGCCATTCATGTGAGGTGTCCCTCAGATATACTTGAAATCACTGAGAAGGATTTCCAGAGTTTGGGGATGCAGTGCCACCAGTATGCTGATGATAGAGAACTCCCTCTCTCTTTTCCATCTGAATTCAAGGAAGCTGTTATGATTTTAAATCAGTGACTGACATCTACAATGAGCTGGATGAGGGTGAACAAACTGAAACTTAATCCAGAGAAGACAGAGTTTTTCCTGCTTAACTGAAAGGCAGATCAGAGAACGGGCATTCAACCTGTGCAGATGGCACTAAATTCCCATTGTCATCACCATCAGGCCTGGGAATCTGAGCTCTGCCCTCCTTCCCCACCCCTTCTCTGCCAGCACAGAAAGAACTACATGGCCATAGTTGGGAAGGCAAGCATGGAGAGGGAGAAATGGGATGGTAGGCCTGGACATTGAAAGGAGACTGGAGAAGTCAGCATTCATGACTGATATGGGAGTGTTAAAGTTGTAGGAGGGCTTTCTGTCTAAACATGCACAAGACTGCAGTCTAAATGTTCCAGACCTATTCATTTGTGTTCCACTTTCTAGAAAGCATTCTCCTAACTGAGAATGGATTTGATGAAAATCCACTTTTCTGCAAAAGCAGTGCACAGAATTGTTTCCTTGAATGAAGCTACATGTGGAAGCTCTCTAACAAAGCACAAGCTATTTATATCTCCTGAAGGATCTGAATCCACCAATTATTCTAAAAAAATCAAATGCGTACCTTGATTGCCCATTGTGGAGGCTGCAGTGTGGTAGGTTTCACAGTCTACACAAAAAGTGCCTTGTTTCTCTGCTCCAAGTAGTTCCAGTTTTCTTGTTAAGATTTCAACAGTTTGCTGGACACTCTTCCCTTCTGCTATTGGCATCTGAGAAACACTAACATAGGAGAAATGACTTTAACAACAAGAGAAATTCCCCAAAGTCACATACTCGGGCAGATCACGGCTGCTATCCACTTGATGCACTAACCAAGAAAACTCAAGTTTATTGTCAATATTATCGACACTATCATACTATGTTAATATTACATGAATATAGTACATGTTCTTTTACATGGTAACACAAGTAAGAAAGGCAGGTCCCTGCCCCACAAGCCTTACAATCTAAATAGAGAGCCTCAGCTATTGGGCAGTCTATACATGAATTAAACAAACAAACAAATAAATAGAAATTAACAAAGGGACACAGAAACATAGAGATCAATGTGAGCAAATTCCAGAATTCATATTCAGCTTCTTTTCTTATTTTGTATAAGGTGTATCGCATACCTGATAGAGGAAAAAGAATTAAAATTCCCTTTAACATTCTCTTGTTCCCCTCTGCAGAGTAAAAGTGTTTTCCTCATTCAAACTTCTTAATGAGAAAAATGGACAGCCAAGGTTTATTTCTGTATTAAAATTATATGCTTCGTTTCTGCCAAGTGGTGTTCAAGGTGGCCTGTGCAAAGAATGTTTTCTCATTCTGTTCAGGCTCTCAGTGCCCGTTTCCCCAGGATACATCAACAAGATCTAAGGGTATCCCAATCTCTCTGGGATCCATTTTTGCTGAACAGTCCACACCAACATTCTTCCATTTTACAGAAGCACTTGGAAAAGTAACTCTCAGTGATGAACTGCAAAGTCTGAATCACCATTTGCCATTTACAGGTGACTTACCCATCTGTAAATGACCACAGAATGTCACATTCTCAGATGAGCATCAACCCAATAAACAGGATCTTTTCCCAAATATTATATTAAAAATGAACAATTTAATGTCAGTTGTTTCCTGCCCCCCAGGCTGTCCATATTCTGCAAATAACTGATGCAGATATATCTAGCAAGTGTGCTAATTTAAAAAAAAATGGTGTGGCCTACTAACAATATTGATATAGTTGCAAGGCTATATAAAACACTTACATGAGATTTGCTCAGAGCTAGATCATACAAAATCTGTTTGCTTCTTTTCTTCCTGCCCCTATGTTCCTTCCATATCTTAAATGTGCCAGCACTGGATATTGCTAACATAAAGGGAGGAATAACAAACACCTCTTCTTGACAGTCTCATGTATTTATTTCTATACTGCTGCATAGCTGACACACCAAGCATTTTACAGTCTGGGTTGGTATATACTGACAGAATGTACTGTTGGAGTAACACATTTCTACTAGTCCAAGGGATTTTTATTATTTATACCATCCAAAGTATCATATACCAGTACAGATTGTTAGGAGAGAAATACGGCATATGGTGTTCCTTTTATAAGATCCTGCAGGGTATGATCCAATGGGGATTCCCATAAGCATCTGAAATCAAAAGATTACAGGCATACTAGGAATGGTGAGGAGACCCACATATGGCATCTTGGAAGAGGAGTGGGATGCAAATACATAAATAATTCAAATCATATGTGCAAAAATAATTAAACCATCTGTAATATTAACAAACTCTCCAGCTTTCCCTCACAATTCTGCCCCACTTGTTAATGCATGGCTAATTAACCCAGGGCTGTGATAATTAAGCGGCTGTGGTATCAGCATTTGCAACGCCATCAATGAGCTCTCGCGATAGAAACCAGGCACTAGAGCAGCCCAAAGTGAACACCCGGCAAATGACAGCGCAGCCCACTGCAGCAGTGAACCCAAAAGATCAGCTTGCAGATCCCCGCCTCTCGTGTCCTTGTCCCCCTCCATCTCATCTCCTCCTCCTGCCCACCCCTATAATCAGGCTGCTGCACCCACTGCAGCAAAGCACAGCACCCACGCATTCCCCCTTGCAGAACGGGCATTTTACGCACTCGGCAAAGTCAGCTAGTTACAGCTGTTTATGCGAGGAAAGGCGTGTCAAGGGCTCCTGCAGCGACCTGAGCGCTCCTGCCTGCCGCTCGTGCTCCCTGCGCCCCCCTTGCCCTTGACCCCTACCAAAGACACATCGTTTGCTCGTCCACACTTGCATTCAACAGCGTATGCCCCCACAGGTCGGAGCCCGATCGAAGTAGCAGTAGTATGATTAAGCACCAACAGAGTATTATTGATCTGTTCTGGGGGTCTGCTTTTGTTTCCTTTTTTCTTTCCCGAGCAACAGAAATCCCCATGCCAAAACGGATCGCTCGGAACCTCAAAACATCCAAACGGCGTACCAAGTGACTCCCATGTTTCCAGCGGTCTGCGCGCGGGCCTGGGCTGGTCCCTGCAAGGAAGACCGGCCACGGCTCGAACTTTTCCCCCCTTTCACGCCAGCAGCCAGAGGTCCCGGCGGGGGTCTTCCTGCCCGGAGCAGGCAAGCCGCCTTCCCGCGGTCGGTACCCTCAGCGGCGGAAATGAGGCGGAAGTGATGTCACCGAGTGAGGTGCGGTCTGGGAACAGCCGGCCCAGGGCCAGCCCCGTAGAGCTTGAACAGAATCGTGTAGAGCCATCCGCAGCTCAGAAAGAAGCGATGGCCCGTCCTGCGAGGGACGCCCGCGCTGTCCGATCGTCAGAAGTCGCCCCAAGCGCGCTAAGCACCTGCCCTGCTAAGCGCTAGGAGAGGCGACGGCTGCCGCTCGAAGAGTTAACACCTGGATGCGATGCTTTCCAAAATGAAGGATCAAGACTTGTCCACCTCTCTCTTGTTCCCAGGGAAGCTGGCAGAGCCGAATTCGACTGTCTCCAGACCCTTCCTCCGCACCTCATTTCATCTTGAGACTCTGCCCATGCATGGTACAGACAGCCTGTCCACAACAACCTCTCGCCTCGCCCTTCATCCCTGCCAAGCTGCTTTCTGCAACATTTTGGCTGCTGACGAGATCTGGCGATTTAGCTTAGTAGCAGAGCTACTTTCCAGTTTAGAGGGAGACAAAGAGAGAGCTAGTGTGTTTGTAGGACAGCTGTTCATAGAAATTAAAGACAAGTGGATGATTTTACAGTAACTGTGCCTGCTCATCACCCTGGCTTCCTCAACAAACGACAGAAGACAGAAATCCCTGCTATTACTAATTCGGATCTTATTTTATCACTTTAATTTGATAGAACTTTTAGACAAGCCTACCCCAACCTGGTGCCCCCCCCCGGTGTGTAGGACTACACTTCTCATCATGCGCGACTATTGCCATAATTAATGGGGCCGATAAGAACTGAAGTTAAAATAGCTAGAGGGCACCAGATCGGGGAAGGTAGTTTTAGACATTTACACTGCAGTTCGTGTCTACTCTGAAGCAAGTTTCATTGAGTTCAATGACACTTCCTACAAGATGCAAGTGTATGTATATCTTTGTAGACATAAAAGCACAAGGCGGTTGAATGCAAGTCAATAGATTCCAAGGGTTCACTATGAAGCGGAGCTCTGGGTTTGGGATGGGAAAGACTCTGAGGGGACAGTTCAACCGGATCGACCTATCCTGTATCTCAAGCCAATATTGTGTGGCTTGAACTATAATAATGTAAATATATTAAACCCTCAACTTGCAATGTGAACGCTGAATTCTGAAAGGTTTGTTGGAAGCGACTCTCCCTGACACTCCTGGCCCACCTGCCATACGGAGATATCAGACTGTATTTGCACTGGAATTTACATAGTCAAGGGTGTTTTTTTAAGTGTTTAAGGGCGCAATCATATACATATCTCTACTGAAAATGTCTTACAACTCTTAGCATCTTCCAACCAGCTGACTAAATTCGCATAGGGCTGCACCCTAAATATATTGAAAGCCGGGGAAACCGACCTGAATTAGAGGGAGCATAAACTGCTCTTTGCCACTACTTTTTGTAGCGGGGTGGTCACCCTGATGTCAGACCGCACCTACAGTACATATTGCATTCTTCCATTGATTGCTATGGGTCACTAGCGGGCGGGGTGGTGGTGGTAAAGATAAGGTAGAAGAACTCAGAAATCACCTATCCAGCAACAAAACTTATCTTTCCATTTTTTCTATCTCTGTAGACGGAAGGGCACCCGTGAGGCGCATGCGCTCTTGCAGCTCCCTGGTCTCACACGTGTGCCGTTCCTTTGCTCGGGATCATGCCTAAAGTGAAGCGGCCGAGGGGCTCCAGCGGAGCGGCGGCAGCGGGGAATATTCCGCTAGCTGAGCAGATCGCTCTGGCCGACTCGGTGAAGCCCGTCACGCGGGTGAAGCGGCGCGGCAAAGCGGCGAAACATGGCGGTGGCGAAGAGGACGAGTACGTCGATGAGAAGCTCTCCCGCCGGATCCTGGAGCAGGCTCGGATCCAGCAAGAGGAACTGGAGGCCGAACACGGCGCGGGTGGAAGAAACGAGCTCAAGACGAAGAAAAAGACGACCGTGCTGGGTGAGTGAGCGAGCAGACGACGACGACCACGGCTAGAGCAAAGGGCATCGCTTAGCGAAGAAAAAGAGGGACAGAATGGATCTGGAGCAGTTTTTGGCTTGGGCATGCCAGGAGTGGGTTTATTATTTATTCATACTATTTGTATCCCGCTGTTTTACCTGTGAGAAGCTCCAGATGGCTTACATAATCCTCCTCTCCTCCATTTTATCTCCACAACAACCCTGTAAGGTAGGTTAGGTTGCGAAAGGCTCCAGAGAGCTGAGTGGGGACTGGGACCAGGATTTCCCGAGTCCAAGTCCAGCGCTCTAACCACTATACTTTGCTGGTTCCCAATGTAGTCCACCCCATCTAGAGGGCACCAGGTTGGATGGAATCGCTCAGTCGTAGAGCCTGTGTTTTTCCATGCAAGAAAGTCATGGGTTTCATTCCTGGCTTTTCCAAGTAGGCAGGGCTGGAAAAGGCACCTATCTGAAACCTTGAGGAGGATGCAGCAATGGTCAATTTGCTGTAAGGAAGCTTCCTTTGTCCCTGCTTATAATCAGAAACTGTGCTCTTTCATCTTTGGTATAGTTTATAAAATAACCTTGCTCATCACTAGGAGAGAAAGATGAGTCTTGTTGCTGGATAGGTGATTTCTGAGTTCTTCCACCTTTTTTACCCCCTCCCCTGCTAATTAAGCTGGGAATGATAACCATCAGATCAGAGAAGTCTGCTGTGTTTGTATGCCGCTGTTGCCAGTGGAATACAGTAGAGCAGGCAAAAGTTCAAAACTATTCTGACAGGCCATTTTTCTCAGTTTTTTTTTATTGCAGATGCAATATATTGCAGATGCAATATCTGCAATAAAATGCAGATTTTTTTTAAAAGCACCTAAAAATGCAAAGTTGGAATGAGACAAGCTAGTGCATTATATTGCTATCCCTCAGATGCTTCAGTGGTAGACCAAGATTTGCCCTGCATAATGTGAAATTCCTCTCAGAATGCATATTGTTTTTCTGGACCCAACATGATATTGTTGTTCATCTTAAAGTTGGTTTAGTACACTGGATAGCCCATCCTCTGCTGTGTATCGCAAGTCTGTTTACATGTAATAGCGGAGAGTTATGGGTTAATTAAACTCATGAGTTGCTGGGTTGCATGCCTGCTATGTCACCATGCTCTGCAGCCTCTAATCAATCCAGTTGAAGGTTACTTTGTGATGTGCAAAGCGGGATACAATAGTTTTTTCAAGCCCCAGTTAGTCTAAAAACTAATCTTAGGTTAACTGTGGGTTGTTTAATCTGCAATTAATCCATAGCATCTGTATTTGAAAATCACCAAATTGGACTCACAAGATGTTGCATATTCAGAACAATAGTAGAATATAACGCCAGCAAATTGCAGGTTTAATTAAAACAGGGTTTTCTATCATTATGTGCAAAGTGGGACAGTGTGTTGGCTTGTACAAAGAAATGTGCAAAGTGCAAAGAAACTTGTCAAATCATCGTTTCTTATCCTTAGTTTCCCCATCTATATATAGAATGTATCTGTGGAAATTTGAGAAGAATAAGCTGTATTTAAACATACTATACCAGTGTTCCTATTTCTGATGCCCATGAATTTATCTGAAAGTCTAAATAGAATCTTTGTTCATATGACTGTAGGCATATTGGCTCTGCAGCTGTGATCCAGGCCTTTTGCAAAGTTCCTGGTCATGAGGAACAAATCTCAATGTATAAAACTTGCACATTTGTAGGTTCAGCTGAACGTCTAAACTGGAAGCTGGGACAGTGGATACTATCCCTGTACACATGTGCACATACATTCAGTGAATGTATGAAAAGAGCTAAAAGTTGTACAGTACTGTGCAAGCTGAAAAGTCAAGCATAGAAATAGTAGGAATAGCCTTATTTCTGTGGTGCTATATTCATAAATCCATCCTCTTGGTTTCTGGTGCCTGAAAGAAGTAGTTGGGAAATGCAGAAGCACTTAGTTCAGCATCATTATTTTGAATCAAGGCAGTTTATATTGTGTTCTCTTAGAAAAGACTTTCGAGATATTTCAGATTTCAAAATAACCAGCATTGGAGCTTGGCACACAGTTGCAGAGTCAGTTCAATATATTTTGCTACCTGAGCCTTTACTGGACCTTCCCCTCCCAAGTCAAGGTATAGAGTACCCTAGTCTAGTCAAAGTTGTTATGAAACAAGACAGACAATCTCACAAGCACCCTCCAATCTCCTGGGTAGTAAAAATGTAACAATAATAAATTAATAACAATTTGTTGGGTTTCATAGTGACCGCAATCAGCTGCTGGAGATGGCAACTTGATTCTGTCAGATGGAAGGGCTGGCTCTGTCCAGTTGGAGAAATGAGTATGATTTCCCCCAGCACTTTTTGTAGTTAATCTGGCTTTTTGACAAACTCAGTATTTTATATTTTACTATTAATTTGAAGAATTCATACACAAATGCTTTTAAGTTAGCTTACAATAATACAGCCACAATTAAAAGAGATCAGATAAATTCATAAGAAAATGCAACACAGCAGAGTAATAGAATAAGATGCTAGCATAAAACCAAAACATCACACCAACAATTAAAAAGTCGTAGACAAAGTTTTTTTTACCAGTTGTAGAGAAGAAACTAAGATGGCACCAGCTCAGCCTTGCAGCTAGAGAGGTGCAGATTCCAGAGACAAGTGCCACAACAGAAAATGCTTGGATTCCCGTTGTCACCTGCCTCACTTGGGACTCCTAGCAGGGACACCATTTGGGGAAAGACAACAGGCATCTTTTTGGATGATCTGCGGGTAGTGACATCACACCATTGGAAATGGGAAGCCTTTCTGTCACACTTACATTCCCTGCGGTCATTCCCCCCTGAGCCCAAGAAGGAGCCTGGCTGATTTATGACTGGCCAAATTAGAAAATGACCCAGTTCACACATCACAGCAGCAATTCCTGTGTTGTTTAAGCCAGGAATTGCAGTGATGATGTATGCCCTCTGTTTCTTTTCAGTTAACAACCCAGAAACTGAATTGCTTTATGATTTCAGAACTCAGAAATTCTGGGTTGTTCATGGGATAAACAACTTAGTGTTAAAACAACAACAAACCATGGTCAATTGTTGGGTTAACTCTGGGTTCCTCACCTCAACTTCTAACTTAATCAACCCAGGACTTGCCACTGTGATGTGCAAATTGAGAGCACCAGTGTTTTTCCAAGCATAGGTTTGTCAGGGAAACTGGTGCTTTGCTGAAATATCCAGAAGGATTTGATTTTGTTGTACCTTTTCTAGGACCTGCCTCAAAAGATGGAGATTCAGATACAGAAGATGATGAGTGGCCATCACTGGAAAAAGCTGCTGCCATGAAGGAAGAGTATTGTGAAGAGATTATAGTGAATCCAGAAGATGAAAAGGCCATTGAGATGTTTATGAACAAGAACCCACCATTGAGGTAAGCCTCCGATTACCATAGATGGCTCTTTGAGTGAAATGATTTGTTTTGTGGCTCTAGTTGCTGGGATTGGCCTAAAAACTGTTGACATGGAAGATAAGGAAGTTTCACTTGTTTATGATTTTAAGCACTATAAACTGTTCAGAGAACTTTAGCTGTTGGGCAGGATAAAAGTTAAATAAATTAATGTTTATTTCAGAAAGAGATCTATAAACCTCCAATTGTGCAGTGTATTTGAATGTCAAATGCCTTGTTTCATGTAGGAAAGCTCTTCAGTTTAAAATATATTATTGCTTTGCTTCACTAAGCTATGTGCAGGGCTGTGAAAATATTTGAAATTTCTGGGCTCTCAGGTGACCTTGAATTTTTCTAGGCTTTATCATGTACCGTTCTCCCTCCCTTTTTCCTCATTTCATCACCTGCCAAATGAAAAGCAAGCCTTCAAGGGTGAAATGCCTGTAATTTATTAGATAGAGGGCTTGCTTTTTTCTCATTGGAAATCATTCTTTATTAGAGAGTTTGACCTGGTTCATAGTTGTGGTGTTGCCAGATTCCTTTCCCACATCAGTTTTGGCCTGGTAAGTCTGATACACAGAGATAATCCCGTGTAAGCTAATACAAGTAGCACTTGTTCACATAAGACAGAATAACAGCAATTCTCATGATTTTGGTAGAGCCTTCTGGAGTCATGATATTATAGCAATGGCTACAATTCCATGTAGCCCCTCTTCCTATATAAGAATATGTGTACAGTCTTGCATTTCATGTGGAGCAGAGACTGAACATGTAGAGGCAATTCAGCAGTAATACTGTAAAGAATATGAAATCCATTTATTGAATCCAAGCATTATATTGCTGCTGCATGTAGGGAAACTGATGCAATTGTTTGCATGATTGTCAGATTCTCAGAGGGAAAATTAAGCCATACTACAGCCAGCACCCAGCTATATTTCTTATTCTGTTTTTACTTAATTTAGCCAGCAGATGGTGCTTTCGGAGTAGCATGCATATTTCATAATGCATGCTACCTCGCACTGATTGCTGTAGGCACAAATTTATGGCCTTCATATTGTCCATATTCCTTGGATTTTTTTAATAACATGGCCTGCACATGTGTTTGTACAACATAGACCTAACTTGCACATAACAAACCATAGCATAATTAACCATGGTTTGTTGAAGTGTGGGTTGTTGTTAATCTATACTGGGTTAAGTATGATTTATTAAGCATGAACAACTGATGAAATGAACTCATGGTTTACTGCTGAACTGTGTACTCTAGGTAGTTTAAACCATAAGCTGTCATTACATGAGAACCCAGAAGCCTGGGTTGTTCATCAGTTATTTTTCCAGGCAAAAGCAGTAAAAAATAGTAGTAATTCTGTGCACATTTTTGATGTGCTGTCACCGATTAGCTTCCAATAACAATTTTTTCATCTTTTAAAACTTTTCAACTTTCTAATTGGTATCTCAGATGAAATGAGATGAAATAAAATAGGTATTGGTTTGCTTTCCAATCTCTTAGAACAAAACCATCATAAGTGATAACATAGGTTTCCATCTGCAGCAGCATTTTGAACTGAACAATTTCAGTATGTCAGTCCATTTGAAGAAGAAGGGTGTCATTGAAAGGGTGTCATGCGTGGAACCGTAATCTGCCCAGGAAGAAACCAAACTTTGAAACCATCTTATTACTGCCTCTGCTGTTGGACTTACCAGCAGTGAGGGAGGGGGCGATAAGTTCTTGGCCCCATTTTGTTTCCTTTGATACCAACTAGGCGCACCTTGGCAGATATTATCATGGAGAAGATCACAGAAAAACAAACAGAGGTAGAGACTGTGATGTCGGAAATATCAGGTCAGCCCATGCCACAGCTTAACCCTCGTGTCATAGAGGTCTACAAGGGCGTCAGAGAAGTAAGTAACACTGCGTGTGCGTGTACGTGTGCGTGTATGAGACGCAGGCTGAAGCCAAGCCGCTACGGAGCCTAGACATCCTACTTCTGCCCGCTGTCTACATGCTACCACGGCAGGCTTGGGCAGCAGTAGTTGGCACTGCATGTAAGATCATATATTATCGATAACAATATGAATTGGGATTATTTTCTTTGATAATGAGTTGCTAGTATTTTTGCTGGTATGTGCAAAAACATATTTGTAGGAGATCTTGTAAACAAATGAACTTTGGAATAATCCATGTTACATAACCATTTTTAAAGGTGCTGTCAAAATATAGGAGTGGAAAACTGCCCAAAGCCTTCAAAATCATCCCGGCTTTGTCCAACTGGGAGCAGATCCTTTATATCACAGAGCCAGAAGCATGGACGGCAGCTGCCATGTACCAGGCAACCAGGTGGGAGACTTGTGGTAACTTGGTTGTCAATAAGGCAGTGACCTGAGTCCTCCTCCTCACTATCCCCTCTCAACTGTCACAATTCCCATGAGTCTCTGTTTTTAGCTCCAGTCTGATTTCTCTTGCAGTTGGTTGAATAACCAAAACACAGTACTACAGTATCAACATGCAAACGAATCTCAGGCTTGATGAACTACAGAAACAAAGGGAGGTGCTGTGGTTGACTTTTAGTATTGATTCTCATTTCCGATAGATATATGCAATCCTATTCATGCAAATTGTAAGGCATGGATTTTCCTCCACATGTGAAGTGTGAGTGTGTCGCATGTGGTTGCACATGCACTGTCCTGTGCTTGAGTTCCCAGCTTTTCAGAGGTGGAATAATATTTCAAATTTCTGGACACTATTTTGAAAATGTTTTTAGGAGTTTTGGGAATTGGGTTGCTTTGATTTTTATGTGTAAATCTCTGCATTCATTTCCTATCCCTCTGGTCCTGCCACTTATGTGCAGGGTCATCCATTCCTGGCTATTATGACAGGCATAAGACCCTTCTTGATCTTTAAAAATAAAAAAAAGACTTCTCTAGTTAGTTCAGTCATTCCTGTTTAGATACGTTTGGTCAAGATGAGTATACAGTGTTAAATTAAAATAGCCTCTGTAGTGTTACCACTTTGAGTTGGAAGGACCCAAAGGGAGCATAGTACTCAGATTTAGGGGGTATAGTGCAGTGGGTTTTGCAGGCAAGCAACAAGTGTGAACGTATTTGAAATTTCTTTCATGATCTCTCTCACACAACTTTGGTTCCTCTTTCTCTCTGGTGACACTGTGCAGTGTATGGCTGGCTGAAAATATGGGCCAGTGCAACAGTTGATTTCCTTTTATAGATAGACTGCTATCCATAGGACTGTAGATAAAGCTTCCCCAATCTGGTGTAGTCCAACACATTTGAAGTTCAGTTCCCATAATTCCCAGATAGCATGGTCATGGGAATGATGAAGGTTGTAGCCCAACAAATTTGGAATGTATTAAGTTGGAGATTATTTTTCATAGTCATTGCCTCAGTGTAATAAACTGCATGGACTTCTTATAAAGCATTGTTTTGGGAACCAAAACTTTTTCAGATCTAGCTTTTAAGTGGTATGTGCATTTTCTGGGTTTGCATTTTTTACTATATATAGTTACGTTTTACATTATATTTGGTATTAAAGAGCAATTATAGACATTCGCACATAAAATATGTACATAGATATCCACACTCCAGGCAAGTTTGCAGTCAGGATGGGAGGCATTATGTGGATGCTGCCATGTTAAATGCCTGGTATAATATGAGTTCAGGGAGGGGAGCTGATTCATGCATGCTTCCCAACTTTTCTAACATGATTTTGTTTTCTGGCCTTTGTTGTTGCTCCCAGAATCTTTTCATCTAACCTCAAAGAGAGGATGGCCCAGAGATTCTACAATTTGGTGCTACTCCCACGAGTCAGAGATGACATTGCTGAATATAAGCGCCTCAATTTCCACCTTTACATGGCATTGAAGAAGGCCTTGTTCAAGCCTGGAGCTTGGTTCAAAGGTAAAGGGGACATGGATCTTGGAGGCTGACACCTTGCTTTGCTTGTTTCCTAGGCTGATAACAATTTTTGTGCCAGCCAGTTGGCCTTTAAAATACTGAAGACCTGAATAAAAGCTTTGCTCTGGGGTTGGACTTTTGATGGAATGCTTTGCATGTTCTATTGGAAAAGCCTGTTTAAATTCTTACCCACTGTCTCTACCCAGGGATCCTCATCCCCTTGTGTGAGTCAGGAACATGCACACTGCGGGAAGCCGTCATTGTGGGCAGCATCCTCACCAAGTGCTCTATCCCTGTCCTTCATTCTGGGTAAGGAACACTGGGCTCATGTGAGGGTGGAAGGAAAATAGCACTAAAACATCAACGTTGGTTACGCTTTTCTGCCTGTCACCCATGTGTCCCTGCCCACCACCCAAGGATCAGGAATCATGCTGCAGAAATGTCTTTGGAATCTTGGGGGAAGATCTGCTTTGTTTTCCTGGCAGAATCTTCTCTGCAGCCATGCTGGCAGCTGGATTGCAGTTCTCCCATATGATTAATAAAGGCAGCCCACCAGAGACTATCTGCTAGATTAGAAATTCTCTTGTCTGTGTTTGGGATTTCCAACATGGTGTTCATAGGCATCAGTGTGACCACAGACAACCTCTTTTGGCACCCACTAAGGTCCTTGGTCCCCCTGTTTCAATTTGATTTTTAACTGGAAGCCTAGTATGTTGCAGAAGTTGTGCCTTCCAGTGCCATCTTGTTTTGGGTTCAGAAGGTTAGCTTTATGTTTTGGAGCTCAGACCCCACATTTTTCTTGTACTTGAACAAATTGTATTAATTTTATTCTTACCATGTGCCTTCTGGGAAGTGAGTATTTTTGTTACTGGCCATGGCTACCATGACAGCCATTTTATGAATGGGCAAGCCCCCTTCCCCAGTCATTATAATACTTTTTAGATGATTTTGGACAACTACTTCTACTTCATGCTAGAATCAATTTTGGCATTCAGTACTTCTGTAACGAAGGTTGCCATCTTTTCCACTGTCGTGTCTCCTCTGCCTTTAACAGTGGTCTGCTGCACAGAAAGCAGGTCGGAGACACCTACAGTTAGCAGAAGCAGCTGACAACTCCCATTGTGGCTCTTTGAACACTGTGGACTTCCATCACAACATTAAACTGCCTTTTGGCTGGTTCCTCTTGGGCTTTGTCATTTCCCTAGCCAAGTGTGCCTATTACTTCCTCATTGTCACAAGTACAGGCTTCCTCTTTTAAAGACAACTTAAAAGTTCCCTTGAGTGATTCTCGGCCCCCCACCCTCTACCACCTTGTCTCTCTTCACTGGGAGAGGCAGCTGAAGGATTATTCAGTGATACGGACCTACAGCAGATCCTCGGTTGCTTCTTTTTTGCTTCACCCCTGCAGGGCTGCAATGCTCAAGATTGCTGAGATGGAGTACAGTGGGGCCAATAGCATCTTCCTTCGCCTGCTCATTGATAAGAAGTATGCCCTGCCCTTCCGTGTGGTAGACGCCCTGGTCTTTCACTTCCTAGCCTTCCGGACTGACCAGCGGACCCTGCCCGTCCTGTGGCACCAGTGCTTCTTGACCTTTACTCAGCGCTACAAAGAGGACTTGTCCTCAGAACAGAAGGAAGCTCTCCTGGAACTGCTCAAGTTCCACAGCCATCCCCAAATCTCCCCTGAGATCCGCAGGGAACTTGTGAATTCCAAGTGTCGGGACGTGGAGAGTGTGCAACCAGTGGCAATGGAGTGAATGGATGGGTAAAATTGCTTCCATATATTGGGCTCTTCACTTGCTGTGATTTTGCTCCTGGTGGGATTTAAGAAGTTAAGGGCAGCAGCTGCTTCGGTTTTGAGGCTACTGCAACATAGTATAAAATGAATGGGGTTTGTCCCTTCTACACTATGAGTCTGGCAAGTCTTCCTTTATGCAAGTTCAAAAGCATTTGGAGCATTTTTCCCCTTAAACTTGCCCATTTGCTCATGGAGAGATTTGTTTTAGAAACCAGGATCCCTCCCATGTGATTCCTTTCATGATAGACTTTAGAGACCTCAACTGTCAGAAAGTACTAGAAGATGCATATTAAATGATAGCAGGGAGCAGATCGATGGGGGGCAAAGAGCATCAGTTAGAGGTGGCATCTGGCAAGCGGATGCTGCTGTACTGGCAGAAGCCCTTGGACCACCCCTTGAGTGCTGGTCAAGCCAGAAGGGGTGTGAGTTTCAACTGTACTGACTTACACTTGGGATGTGTACTTGAATGCCATTGACTGCTTCTAGATTGATCTCACCTTTCCTGGCTTAGGTCACTTTGAAAGCTGAAGCTTTTCTTTGAAAATAAAGTTTTGTACCCCACCTCTCAACCAAGTGATTCTCAAGGCAGTTTGCAACAGGTTCTAATAATTGCTGTTATTACAGGAATACAGTTTGTTGTTGTAATAATCACAGAACCTGCCCTACAAAATCACATGCACAGACACCCTTGAACATCTCTTAGTCCAGGAGTGCTGGATCTCTCAGCCTGAGGGCTACATTTAGTTTCATTTCTCAGGGAGCCACTTTCCAGTGGTGAGGTGAGCCAAAGGCAAAAAGGCTGTAGATAGCAAAATACTTTCATGTTTAGCTTAATGTTTGTGCTGCTAGTAACTAAGGCTTAGAGGCATTTCAGACTTAGAGAAGAAAGTTTGTGCCAGCCAGGAAACAATTAAATGTTTGGCACTTAGGAGAAAGGGGTGGAGCCTGGGGAAGAGGGAGCAGTTATTTGGGTGGGTTTTCTCCTTGCTGCAGTTTTTCCTTGGAGACAGGGAGTTCAGGTTCCCTGTACCCCCAGCCAATAGCAGGGGCTGAAGCATGCTTTCCTTTAACATACTATTCCCCAGGCAACTCAGCTGTAATTTAACTTGAAAGCAGTACACAGCCATGGAGAATACTCCACCTAAACTGCTCCTCTAAGAAAATCCTTAGAAAGCGACTCCCCTCAGATTGCATGCTGTTTCTGAACCAGCTTTTCTCCAGGAATCTCTAAGCCGGTGTAAAGCTCTTTCTGAGTAGGACAAGAACGGGTCAAGCTCCAAGCAGCTTGGCTGGGGAAGATCTAGTCACATGGGGTTCAAAGAGCCACCCCAGATTTAAGGACACACAGTCTTGTCTTCCCCCCTTGGTAAATTTAATCCTGTTACTTACATTTTTCAAACAGTATCATTGGATTCTAATTCTGAATTCTCATTGCTTTAATTTCTTTCCTCCCATTTTTTTTACATCTGAATAGATGGCTATATGGGGATGTTGTTCAATCTGTTGGATAAGCCATGAATTTCAAGGGTAACTCAAGGCCTGTCCAGCTTTAGAAATAAAAACAAACCAAAGCTTGGTTAAGGCCCAAACTTAATTTCCCATATGACCCCAGGGAAGATGCTTAAATGTAAGTGTCCACAACAACTTTTGGATGGTGATCTCGGTTGACATACACATGCTGTAGCATATGTATAAGCTGAGCCAGGTTTAGGTTCAGGTTTAGAAAGCTTTCCCACTTTTATAGATTCTAACTCGTGTGTATATGGTCTGTTGATGTGGCTCTTCAGCTTGAACCTCCAGGTGAAGGAAGCCTTGTTTAAAAGCAAAGGAACTCTGTTGTCAGGGAAAGGTGACAATTGCTGCTGCTATATAGTACTGTTCTATTCTCCTGTTCCTGTACGCTTACTGTTTTCCAAAATATGGCATGAGTTCCAGTCCCCCTTCCCTGGTTTATGACAAAACTACTGGACAGAAAAATGACTAGGTCTTTGGTCAAATTAAATCTCTAGGTTATCTAAGAGTGGGATCATATGCCTATTTAGGCAGAAGAAAGCAGTCTCCAGGCAGCCAGACATTCCCCCCTAAGTATTCATAGGATTGTACCCTAAGTGGTATCTTCATGATTTGCATATGAATCTGAAGAGAAAAGGTGGGCCTTCTTTATTTTTCTCTGATACTGCTTTTCATATGTGTATGATTCATCTAATAAAAGACCTCTGTGTGAGGGAAGGGAGAGAATAACTTTGAACCTTTTAATTGTGTAATAAACAACAGTAAATACATGGGCCATCAATAATTGTAAAATCATTTGATTATTGATCATATGTTGAGTGGCTCAACAGGGGAGAACATCTCTAGTCCAAGCTGTGTAATGTGTCCCAAGCTTTTTCAGCCTAACAGTTCTCCAAGCTGACCATAGGAAGCTAGTGGAGGTAGGGAAGCTGTATTTTTGTTAGTTGATTCAATAAATGATTTCCAAGTCCCCTGAAATCTTTATTATATTTCTGCCTTTTTTCTGCAGGAACTCAATGCAGCATTAATAACCTTTCTCTTCTCCATTTTATCTTTACAAAAAACCTTGTAAGCTGAGAGTGAGCAACTGGCCCAAAGTCAGCCGGTCCACTTCATGGCCAAGTGGCGATTAAAATCCATGCTGCCAGAGTTCCAATCCAACACTAACCACCATGCCTCACTGTGGCCTAACTGCTTTGGAACTTGAGTTATTCTATTCATTTCCTTAAAGTTTTGTTTTTGCTTCAATTCCATAATAGATGGTTCTGCTTTGGACCTCCAGTTTGCTGCTATTTCTGACCTGGTCACAATCCAAAGCTGACAGTACTTTATGTTTTAATTTTGCATCCATCCATCCCAAGGCACAATGATATGAGCCCTGTAGCTGTAGCGAGCTCTATGCTTTGCTGAGTCACATCCCTAGCATAAATGCCTGTACATGGAGGCAATCCCTCCACCACATGTATTAGAGGATCATCATGCTGCCAACAAGAGGGCTCAAGGCATGGCTGATAGGGCTTAAATTTCAGCAATGTGGCACACTGTGTCTCATTTTCATAAGTTTGTTAGGGAAAATTGCTCACGGACTGTAAAAAAGAGTTGGGGCATTCAGTGTTTTCAGTGAAAACATTTTTCACCCTATTCACAAAGCCTAATGTGGCCATGCTGCTGCTTCCAGACAGTACGATGAAAATGATACAGAAGGTTAAGATCCCCAGAACCATGGACAACGGTCTTCCGTAAGCCCACCCCTCTCCCCAAACACACCCCTGCCATGCACAATGCCTCCCCTTGGCTTGCATTGACTCCTTTCCATGCTGGAGCCTGGTTCCAGCAGCGCAGTGTTAAGCACTAGCATGAAAGATCACCAACCGCTTAGCACTCCACACTGCTTCAGTGGGCTAATTTACCTGCTCTGCATAGAGTTAACAGCTTTTGCTTGCGACTGGTTCAGCCGAATGCTGCCAAGGAGATGGATGGAAGACGTGCAAATTGTTCAGTAATCTGTGCTCCAGCAAGCTGCTGTCCTGGGAGACATCTCCTAGCACAAACAAATCTGCTGCTCAGAGGAGCCACTCAACCAAATCTCCCCTGGAGCTAAAACCTGTTCAAACCAATTACTCTTCCTTTCCCAGCTGCTGTGGGAACAGCACAGAGTTTGTCTGTCATTCAGGATGACAGCAATGGATTCTGTTGAGTGACTGTGGACACCAGAAGGGCCAAAAGCACAAACGAAGTTAATGCAACCCTAAGGCTGCACCTTCCTGAAAAAAACAGAAGGTACTGCCTTGCTGACTCCCTGCCAAGATTCAAGGGTTGCCCTTGGATATCCTCACATTCTTGCTAATCAAGGTTTGGAAAGCGGATGCAACAGGCCCCAGGCTTGCAGGAGGAAACATGCAACAGAAAGAGCCAGCATATCAGAGTGCCTGTGGTCATGGGAAAGGGAAGGACTTAAAATCTGCAATGCAATACCCTTAATATTCATGTGAGTTAAATTAGTGCCTGATGTATACATCATTTTGGCAATGGCAGAAAAGAGCAATTCTACTGATAATGTGTATGGCTTTAGAACAGGCCAGAACAACCCAATGAGGGCAAGGGATGGAGGAAGCATGACAGACGAGCCACAGGATCTCAAGCCCTGGTAGGCATATGCCAAGAGACCAGAATGTAGCGGGTGAGGGACGGTGGAGGTTAAGTCAGCCGGTCCATTCCATGGCTGGCAATCCCTTTGAGGCCATGTCAGGAAAACAGGAATGGTGGTATCCAGCAAATCCAAAGCTGCCCTGTATCCCTGCCTGTCCACTCGTTCTGCTGTCACCATCGAGAGAGCACCAACAATGAAGTGGTACTCTAAAGACCACAAGATTACAATCTTGGTCACGAAATCTAAGTATTTAATCTATGATTAACTGTGAAACAATTATTTTTAATGCTACAGGAAATGGGGCACATCTTAGAAAAGGTTTTCTTGGGGGTGTGGAGCCAGCATAAAAATGAGAGGGCTGCCTAGAGCAAGCGCTCCATTCCTATGCCATCAAATCATCTCCGACCCATGGCACCCCATGAATGAAAGCCCTCCAAGATGCCCTGTCCTTCACAGCCCTGCTCAGCTCTCGTTAGGACCCAAGGCTGTGGCTTCCTTTATGGAATCGAGCCACCTTAGTTAGTCTTTCTCTTCTTTGACTTCCCCCAGCATTGTCTTCTCCAGTGAATCTTGCCTTCCCGATGTGCCCTAAGTACAACTTCTCTTTCATCCATTTTCTTCCAGAGGAAGTCCTGGCTTAATTTGATCTACCACTCACTTGTTCATCCTTCTGACAATCCAGGGTGTTCACGAAGTGCTCCTCCAACACCAGGTTTCACACACATCAATCTCCCTTCCTTCAGCTTTCTTCATCGTCCAGCTTTCACACACTATAAAGCAGAGACCAACCTTCTGAAAGTCTTTGCCACACTTCAGCAGATAAGCCTTCAGTTTGCAACATGGTCTTGAGTACCTCTTCCTTTCCGAAATCCAGCTTAAACATCAGGCATTTTTGCACCATATATGGTAAAATTCTTTGCCACACCTTGTGGATTTTGTTTATAGAAAATTAGTGAAATGGTCAGTAATTGCGACACTCTTTTACATCTCCTTGCTATGGGATTGGGATGCATACTGAACATTTCTAGTCTGCGGGCTGCTTTGTTTTCTGTATTTGTTGGCATATTCTTGTTAGGATTTGGACCGATTTAATTCTCTGCAGCTTGAAATATTCATGCCCTCTCTATTCCAGGTGCTTTATGGGATTTTATAGGATAAAGGCATGAACTATTTGGGTTGCCTGTAAACCTATGAACTCATAGACTTAGAGACCCTACACAGAGGAGTGTAGATGATAGAGTGGTGATACCTGCCTCTGACCTGCATTTTTCCTAGATAGCCATTTTTGCTGCAAAGGGAGCAGTAAGGAGGCTACAGAGAATACATTATTCCCTGGCATCTAGTCTCCTCCTCTATCCACCTATCAGACTACCCCTTTACCTCTTCTGAGGTTGAATTCCTGACCTCTGAGGCAGCCAGCATAGCTCTTTCCAAGACAGCTGTGAGGAAAGACTGAGAAAACTGCGAGCTGTGAGGCCAGAGCTGTTTACCACCCTTGGGTATGAGGGTCCAACATAGTACATGCCCCAAAAACTTCTAGGGAGCCATGGGATTCCCCCCTTGCCCCTGCCCCGACTTGTTTTATGCTTACCACCTGCATCAGGAGCTCAGCCCAAGGAACAATTAAAAGGAACAGTGATTTAGCACACATCCAATTCTCTGCTTCTAGACCAATATGACGTTCTCCCTGTAATCGGCCATAGTATGATGGACCATCTGTTTCCAAACAGTTAAAAGATAGAGTATGCTACAGTGGTCCTCATGGGACATAGCTACGGCATGCATCAGCTCACGTGCCTCCTCACACATCCTTCAGCCTTGTTCCTGTGTCTTCTACTTACACACGCTGCTGATAAAATACTGGCTGTAATAGACCAACTTGGATCAGTTACCATCCAGAACCACCTTCTGGAAAATGACACAGCTGAGAATCTTCTGAAACAATCTGCCACACTGCAATGAAAAGGTTTACTGATCAAATCATTGAAGTCTTTATAAGGCAGAAATCGAGAGCAGTGATTATTTTTTATTCTTAATAGCACCTATAAAACAAACAAGCATCATCAGAGGAAGCCAGGCTACATTCTGCATCTACTGGATTATTTCCAATGTTAGTTCTACTTCAAAGAAGCCCACTGAAATGAATGTTTTAGACTAACAATAAATATAACCCACAGAGGGTACAATCCTATACATGTTTAGATGTTAAAATGTTCCCCAACTCCCAGGCAGCACAACTGACTGGGGAATTCTAGGAGTTGTAGGGTTTTTTTCCTGTCTAAATATGCATAGACTGCGCCCTTGATCATTTAAATCATATTTCCAGAGTTTAGGAAGGCAAGACAATGCTAGTTTAAAAAAAAACTTTATTGCAATGTAATAGATTTCCTAACAACTGTATTTCAAGTGCTGGTGAATATCTTATTAACAAACTTTATTTGAAGCTCTAATAAGTGTGTGTGTGTGTGTGTGTGTGTGTGTGTGTGTTTGTGTGTGTGTACATAAATATATATGTATCTATAAAATGCATTCCCCTCATTTCCAAACTTTGCTAAAGTTCTAATGCATATGGACTTCCCACTCATCACAAGTGTTGATGGCACTTGAATTATATGACTAATGAGGCTTAAAGCACAATGAGGGGAAAGGAAAGGCAAAAAGAAAAAAAGAAGCTTTTTCTTGTTGGCAAATGTGACTGTCTCCAGTGGTGGTTTAGGTAGCATCAGTTCATTTTTTTTCCCAGCTGGAGGGCTGAAGAATAAAATACCACTAGAATTCAAAATACAAAGTTTGCTCCCATGACTATAGTTCACCCACACCTAATAATCTTAAAAGTGATAATTTATAAAAGCAGCATTTAGAAAAAATACTTTTTTTCCTGAACACACAAGAAAACAACTCTTGACTCCAGTGCAGTCTGCAGCTCATCATATTGTAAACTCTTAGGGGAAAGAAATTCATCTTTTATCCCCTTTTAAAAGCAGGTGATAAGTTATATATGCTTTGACTTCCTCCTACTCCTCCATCCATCCTTTGCATGTAGTTCTCCTGTCTTTTTCTCTCTCTTTTGGCAATGAAGACAAGAGGGATGTGTACATACAAGTATAGCAGCACTTATTGGGTGTACTCTGAATATAAATGACCTTGACTCTGACTAATCTCTCTCAAAGTAAGCAACCCAGAGGTATGAAGGAGAATGAGGAAGAACATTAAGGCACTATTTTATATGGCAAGAAGGGATGGACCAAGATCAAGTACTCTTGCTGAGCCTCTTCCCTTGCTTTGCAGCTTTGTAAGTTAGTCCTCACAATAAATAAAGTAGCTGATGGGTCTCTTAGGAGTAAACAAAGGCAACTGGGTGCAAGTAGAATTTATCCCTTTGGGCCTTTGTGAAGAGGGGATTTTCTGCCCCTAAGCTTTCACTATGGCAAGCAGCACTTTACAAGCACCTACAAGAAGCGAGCCAAAAAACCTCACCCATTTCCCTGCATTTATGCTACTATCACTCTCCAAAGGAAACTGAGACTTCCTTGGTATCAAGGGAAAGGGATCCAGCACTAAACTTCATATACCTTGGTCTCTTACCAGTGCCCAAATATGGCAGCATGAGCAAAGCAATCTTAGCCAAGGAGGTCTCAGGTGAACTTTGAAACTGCACGGACGGCGATTAGATAACAAAAGTGCGTTTTCTCTTGACATGCATGCAACAAGCATGCAGCAAAGATTGGGACAAAACAGCAGTGATGAGCAGCACCCACCAACAAAGCAAACCCAAACTGAAGAACATGTTGAACTGACACTATGTTCACCCATCCCTCCCAAGTTCAAGTATGGTTTAGCCAACCCCATGAGGCTCTCCTGATCCTAGGAAATATCAGGCAAGCAAGGGAGAAACAGTCCTACTGCAAAACGCCGACTTCCTTTCAAGCCCCACCCAGTTCCAACAGTCTTATTACAAAGATGATGTTCACTCGGGAAGTCCTTTCCCATTCCCTTTGTTCTTCAGGAATAACATGGACAGGCAGAATGTTGTAGGCAGCCTCTTAATTTCCTTCATCAGGCTCTACTTGCTGGGAGGTGGGTGGTCACAAGCAGGGCTTGATCACAGGTTGATGTCAGTGACATCCGTAGGTGTGCTGGTCAGGCTGACTTCCTGGCTATCTGGGTAAACAGCATCCTTAGAGGGGCTGTATTCTTGCTGCGGCTGGGAAGTCTGTTTCAGATTCTCTGCTAATGCAGCCTCGATCTGCTCCTGGCACGCTTTCAGGCAGTCCTGAGAAAGAGAGGAATGCACAACAATGAAAAAGATGTTCATTTCCACTTTTTTTTGTCCCTGAGGTACTTGCCTATTTTCAGAACAATTGAGCATCTTCTGATGTTTTAAAACATTCTTAGATTGGGCAAACAGGTCTTTTAGCTCCAGCAAAGTGGCACTCATCATGTCCAAGTTCGTCCTACAAGGACTTTGCATGGCAGTTGGGACTCAGCTAGCCTAAACCTGAATTTCAGAACAGCAAACCCCTGGCTATTCTTTTTTTCCTCAAATACATCTGTGGAATGGACACTAATTCCATGTGAAACCAGTTTAGGATTATTCAAGTTGTCATTACAGTAACAGAACAAGGGGCGATGACCTGCTTCAGAACCTCTTGTCAGATCTGGTCCTCTAAGCCAGGGGTCCTCAAACTTTTTCGATACGGGGTCAGTTGAAAGGCGGTCGCTACATGCGCAGGCCAGTGAGGTGGGGGTGCAGGCTGGTGAGGTGCTGTCGGGCACGTGTGAGGTGGCGACGAGCACATGCGTATGGGAGGCAGGCGGTGGCGCAGGCCAGATGGACTGCCGTGGTGGGCCGGATCCATCCCGCGGGCCGTAGTTTGAGGACCCATGCTCTAAGCTTTCTAGTTCTACAGAAGTACAGAAAGAGCATTCCCTTTATACATTGACTGTCCCAACCTTTCTCCCGCTGTTCAACCCCACTTTCTTCTCTATTCTTCCTAGGCTGAAATAATAAAGATGAGAATGTCCTTTGACATGCACAAATTAGCTTCCCAATACACATCTGAGGTTAGTCAGAGTAACTTGCAGGAGATGTTAGCCCCCAAAGCTCTTCTCATTTGCTACATTATGTGCTTCCTCCAAGGGAGACTTGGGAGGATGGCAGCAAACAAGAAGGCCTTCCTGGTGGTAGCCCCTGGGTGTGGAATGTTCTGTCTTAACACTAGCACTAAAACTGTCATCTTTTAGCTCTGGGTTACTACTTTCCTTTACTCTCAGGCATTTAACAACATACTTGTTATAAGCTGCCTAGAAATTCCTGTTCTAGAAATTCCAGTTGGAATAGTTTGGTAGTATACAAATGTAAAAATAAATACATACATAATAGGATGGGGCATTTTCATCTTGTTAGTCCTGGTAGTTATATTGTTAATTGCCTTTAACTTATTTTTAAACTGTTTTAAATTCTTCAGTGCTAATAGCTTTACATTATACACCATGTAGTGAACCACCTAGAGAGCTTTGGATATTGGACAGTACAGAAATATACTGATAATATATGTTTAGTAAATGAACAATACAGGTCTATTTCTACATCCAACTCTGCGCGTACAAGATTCACCACTTCACATTCATCCACCTCCTACTGTTCAGCTATGGCACAACACGAATAGTTTGTCCTTCTAGCATGGCTGTGTTTCAAATTTGAAAACTGTGTGCTGTACCTTTAGAAGTAACCCTGAAGGCAGAAAGAGTGGTTATCAGTAAGGTTCCTCCTACCTTTCCCCTGCCTCCAATTCCTGCCTTCCTCTCAAGGTTCTGAATGTGATACTCTGCATGTGACTGAACTCTCTAGATTCTAGATATCAGTTCATGGATGCAACAGTCTTACAGGCAAGTGACAACCTTGACCTTACATTTAGATATGCAGAAATGGTTTGTCTTGGGGAGATGAGGAAACCCCTTTAGTTCTGCAATGAGTCACAGTGGCAAGCCTCGCAAGACACCTTTGCTGCCTGTGTCTCTTGCTCTAAAGGCTAGGAGTCACCCTTTCCGCCACTTTTAATGAAGTGACATTTTGTGCAGCAGACCTTCAGGGTTCTGACTGGATCACGGACAGGCTCCTCAAGCCTAGCTCTCTTCACAGGATCCTGTCATATATACAATCTTACAAAGAATCCTGCCAAGTTCTTAGAAATTGACAGAGGATGTGGCAAGTAAAAATAGCAACACCCAACACTCCGTCCCCAAGACACTTCCAGTAACTGTGGCTTTCAAAACCTCCACTCAACAGCAGCAAGAACTTAGCAAGAGCCATTCTAAACTTCATGGCCAGCTTGCAAGCCCATGGGAAGGGAAAGGAAGTAAAAGCTATAAAAGAAGAGAATTGAGGAAATTCAGAAACATTATAGTTCAGGGTTCTGCACAGGATATACTTTGGCAAACTGGACTTTCCGGGTGTACTTTTCAGGGGACTCTGCCACACTATTCAGAAAGTTAAAGAAGGGTCACAATGCAGTGGCGGAGCCCTGCCCTTGTCGGCCAGAGGTCTCAAGTACAGTCCCCAGATCTCCAGGTGAGGCTGGAAAAGACCCCGCTCTGAAAAATCTGGAGAACTGCTGCCGGAATTCTGAACTTCTGAATGAGTCCAATAAATTCCAAGCAAGATGCCCCTGGAGCAACCCTGTGGCTCTCATGTCCTGGTTAATGCAACACAACCCAACACACACCTGGTACCTAAAAGTGTTTACCCTCACTGAAAGAATACATAACTGCGAACTCCAACAAGCACATACGGAAACTGAAGCAATCAACATACTGACAGGGAACACAGGAGCAGTTGTGAAGGTATAGGGCTGGGGCAGAAAACCTGTGGCCCTCCAGATGATGTTCTTGGACCACAACCTCCTGTCACCCCTGGCACCTGGCAAAAGTTAAGGCACAAATGACAAGGCCATTTTCCCTTCTGCAGCTGGCCAATGTGAGAGAGAACAAACACCCCAAGTCACCAGTGAAATCCAGTACCCACTGGAACCTGCAGCAGAAGTTGATCAGGTATGGCAAGACACATCAGAAAAGGATCCTTCTCCTGCTGCCTCATCCTGTCTCTAGAGACAGCATTTCAATGGTCACGGTCACAAAAAGTGAAAGGGAAGCCAGAAGGAAAACCCTGACAGACAAGCAGTCCAGCTTAGGGCAGGCCAAATTACAACAGGCATTGGCAACTAAAGCTCACCTAATCTTCTCTCTGTGAGCTTTCTCCAGTTTGTAATCCTCCCCACACCTCCCACCTGTTCCCCACTGCCTCCAATCAACCATGTCCATAGGGTCAGTATTCAGCTTTGCCACATTCACAGTAGCAACTTGCAAGCCAGCAACTGTTTGTGGGCAATTCAGGGAGTTGAGGGCAAAAAGCCAAAAAACTCAGCCTTCCGCTCCATGACTGTCAGGCAGTGATTATAAGAAAGGATCTATAAGAAAAGTACAATTCTAGAGCTGCTGCTCTGCTCTCCAGTTTTTCACCAGGTAACAGAATACATAAAGAACAGCTTTGCTCTCTTCCCTGGCGCCCAGGGAGGGCTTGCAAATGCCACTTAAAGCAAGCTTCTCTGGGCTCTGTACTTGCCCCTGCCAGGAATCTGACACTTGGCCACATGAACAGATGCTAAGCTAGTTTCACCAACTCCTGATTGGCCAACCAGTCTCTAACACCTGCACATTCAGGTGACGGGATGCTTTTCAAAAGAGCCTCCTGTGTAGAAAAGACAAAAAAGAGCAACTGATCCGAGGCATCATGCAAGTAATCAGTGGAGGAGCCATCTGCGGTGTGCAGCAAACATACACTCCATGGCAGGCCAGGAGCTGGCAGGGCACCCTGGGAAAGTGCAGTTGGGCTTTAGAAAGGCAGCCAAATCTGTGGAAACCCCCACTGGCCAGGGAAGAGTCACAGCCACTTTCTGTGTTGGCTTTGTACCCAAAAGAGGATGCTGGCTTGGGAATCAAGAGAGAAGCAAAGGACGGAGAGGAAGACTGCCAGCCAGAAGGCTCAGTTAGCTAGAAAGGAACTTGATACCTTCCTGTGCCAGCCATGCAACCTTGCATCGCAAACAGACAAAGAAAGCCAATGGTGTCCTCTGTTTCTGGAGGATGCGGCACTTTTCCGCCTTGGACTAGAATTTAAAAAAGCAGCTACTCTCAACAGTGTGAATACATGGATCGGATGAAATACATTGCTCTGTAGAAAACCTTTGGCCAAATACAGAAGGTTACCTCTAAGATACTGCAAAAGCCTCTGTGATCTTGCTATCAGCTGTGATGGCTGCTCTTACGGAATTATGCAGGATGTGAGTACCAGGACCCCTTGCATGTGTTCAGGTGCTTCTGCATGGCACACTGGGACTCCCAGATTTTCCTTTGCATGTGAATGCTTTCACACTATATCATAGGCCCCTTCCAAGGGCTCCTTGCTTTGGTCTTTCTGGAGTATCTTTCCGAGAGGGTAGAAAAGAGAGGCTGCAGAAACCCAGCGCAAGTGTGTTCTGCAGTATTACTGGGCTGCATAAACAGGAGCCTGAAGAGGATGGCACGACCTGCCATTTCCAGTATCTCAGATGAAATAACATTACTGAACCATACTGAATGTACTGATAATTCTGACAACTGGTCAGCATCCTCAACAAGTTCAGAGAGAGAAAAAAATTGTCCACTGCCTGAAATTCCACAACACATGGAAAATGAGGAGCTTCAGAGATATATTTCCCAGATGTACTCTACAAATATATGGCAGGAGGGAGCAGCAGCAAACTCAGCAAGTGCTCACTAATGCCTGATGCATATACACCTTTCCAGTGGCTTGTACAAAACAGTATTAAAAAGAGTATTAACTCTGAAGGCTCCCTTATGAACATCCATTCTGTGAAGAAGGGGCAAAAAGGGCTTACTTAGAGATGTTTGGGGGCTGCGTTCCAGTGGGGTTGGGCAGAGAGCAAAAGGGGCAAGGCAATTACCTAAAGTGCAAGCCTATTGTAGTTTAAAGTTGTTAATGCTGGCAACTAAGCCTCAAGAGGAGGCAATTTAACAGTTCAGAAATGGAAACACATTTCAGAAAAGCTGGAAATCCTCCAAAAAGATTGGTGAGAAGAAAAAGAGATGGATCCGTCAGAGGAAACCCAGAAGACTGAATCTGGTCACTAGGCCTGGGGTTCTGAGTCTGTACCTTAAGCACTCTAATCAGGATATAGTGAAAGCTTCAAGCACCAAACAGACCTATTACCAAAGTAATTCCCATTGAACTATTGACTAAACATTACTTTTGAGTAACATACAGGATGGCACTGCGAGTGACATCCATTGCTTATACCAAGAAGATACAGATTTACTTCCTCATTCCGACATAGACCCTCTTCCTTAATCTTGAGCATTTCTTCCACAAGTGGTCCCACTTAGAAGCTCACACACAGACCTCACTTCTCCATAAGAAGTGATGTAGCTCAATGAAAAGAGCACATAGTTCGCACACAGGAGGTTCTAGGTTCAGTTTCCATTTTCTCCCAGATGGACCAGGAAACAATCTTGCCTGAAACCCCGGAGAGCTGCTCCAAGACAGTATAGGTGACACTGGGCTAGATGGATAATGGTAGAAGCTTCCTATGTTTCTAAGCTGGGAAGCTGAATTATTTTCTAAATTTGCAGGAGAACAGTCGCTGTATCCCAAGGCTAGTGTTCTTCTACAAGCATAGACAAATGTCCTAATTTACCAGCACATTTCCAAAAAGGGTAATAGCAACCCAAGCATTTCCTTGACTTAATCCTGTTGATTTTAATATACATTCATTGATTTAATAAATATCATTGTTAGGTTGCTACTTTTGTTAACTGCACAGATTATCCATGTGATAGAAAGATGGGACTGAAATACTTTCAATCATTAGAATACTAAAATAATTTTTAATCATTATACTAAATATTAATCACAGCAGTAACAGGTTATCTCCTTGTTCTGATTCTACCTACATGTTGCCTGAAAGCCATGAAAGCTATCACCTAAATCAAGGAACCTATAAATCTTAAAATCTACTTGGATTGCACCACTCATCACTTTTTACAAAGTGATCCTTTTTGTTCTGCTTGCAAGCAGCTGAAGCCATGGCAACTTGTCTGAAATCAAAAGGCAAAAGCTAAGAGCACCCCATGTTTCTAATTCTGAAAATTGTTTCCCCTGATCATATACTCACCACCTCTGTGCCTGTAATGCCAGCAAGCAATTCTGTAAGTGCCTCGCCAGAAAAATCACCAGATGAGGTAGAGAGGCCGTGGACTGCCGCTCCAATGCTACCTGTAGCAATCATGGATGGTGGATACATAGCAAATGTGTAATCTGCAAATTACAGAACAGAAAAAGTGTTACAAAGAAGAGACACACATCCACTTGCTTCCTACTGCATTCAGTAAAGTATTCTAGTCAGGGAAAGAAACAACTTAAGGGAGAACCCATATGGTATATGAGTTTAGGACTGAAAACTAAGCAAGTACAAGCCTTTTTCACTTTTGGGAGTCCAGAGTTAAAGGCAACTGCCTGAACTGAGTTCAGATGTTTGCTGCTAAGGTCAGACACTTGGAAGTTTTATTTAGTATCTTACAAGCATACAATTCATTAGTTTACTGAGATAATTTTGCAAGAGAATGATAAAAGCCTGTTTTTCAGGAGTAGACTGCACAATGAGCAGGAGGAATCCTATGCTGAAAACACTGGGCTTAAAAGAAATCCGGTGAATTTATCCAATAGTTCTGCTGCTATTTCCTGCAGGTGTGTTGTTCACATTACCATATTTTAGTAACTGATTGTTCTTCCACCTTTTAGAGGACAGGAAAGAATTACTGCATGATGCTTTGTCCATTTGCTTCTAAGTCATCCAGAAGCAGACAGAGAGAACATCCTACAGTTGCTAAGCAGCCACAAAGTGCTTCTTCTCCACTATCTCTGAAACTAAGCACAACACTAAAACATAACTGAAGATACATGAAGCCCATCCAAGCCCATTTACCCAAGAGTGGCCTGCCAGTTAGAACAAGGCTGCACAAAAAATACTTTTCAGTGGCACAAGAGTGGCATTAATGATGCCCATGGCAGTGCACTTTTCTGAGAAACAGAACCAGAAGGAATCTTGCACATGTGCAGCAAAATGACCTTTTTATTCAAATGCCATTTTAACTGTTAATACCATTTATTTATTTTATTCTTCGGGCAGGGTGACTTATTTTATATTGTTAACTTGTTTTATATTTTTAGAGAGAGAGAGAGAGAGAGAGAGAGAGAGAGAGAGAGAGAGAGAGAGACACAGAGACACACACACACACACACACACACACACACACACACACACAGAGGGAGGCTAAGCAGATCAGAAGCATTAACATCACCAAATGGCTCTGCCGTGGCAAACAAATGTTGAAAGCCTCCATGAGAGACCACCTGGATCATACCTGTTCTTAACAGGTGATGAAACATTGTTTTTGTGGCTGTTGTATGCTATCTTCCAACTGAGAATGGTTATAAGAATGGTATGTCTTTATGAATAATGGCCTAAAACATTCATCACATATTCATCATCCCAGCTTTCAGAGAAACTGAAGCACCATAGTGCAGGGTGTTCAGGGCAGTCCCCCACCTGGTGCCCCTCTGACTATAACTCCCATCACCCTCTGTCAGCACAGCCCATGTCCATGCTGTCTGGGGATGACAGCTTTATTCCAACACATCTGGAGGGCACAGGTTGGAGAAAGATGGCCTAAGGTGACATTAAGAATCAATTCAGCACCACTACAAACTGAAAAACATGTTCACTTCTTTTCAGTCCCAATAATTTCACTACTGCTCCATCCTTCCAGAGAACAGCATGTTTGCAATTCAAACTTATACCTGTAGCACACAGTGCAATGAAGGTCTGTGCATGTTTCTTCACCAAGTTCACCTTATGTTGGGGAAGTGGCAGCTGCTGAAGAATATGATCCAGGAAGTCATTTGCTATTACTGACACAAGGTCCCATTTTAGCTTCTTTAAGACTAAACACTCCCAGTCCTGAAAAGAGAAAACAAGAAGAACATGTTATGCAAAGCAAAGCAACCTTTTCAACCAGACACATAAATAAACCAGCAAGATTTATGCTGCTGAGGATATACAGTGTATTTCAAGAAACATCTCAGCTGAAGGTTACAACAGCCAATTAGCAAAGAAGTCAGGGATCTGCCTGGCTAGATCTTACTGTGAACTGACAGATAGAAGATGCAGTGGACCATCATGTGGAATCTGCTAGCACCCCCAAACTCGTAGTTTCTTTCAGGAAGATATAGAGTTTACAATTGCTCTTTTCCTGTCCTAGCCAGGACTGTGGGAAAGCCTTCTGGTATTACTCCTGCTGATTTAAACAAGCCTTCAGCATTTTCCCCCTCTGCTGGCCAGGTAAATATTCTGCAAGAAAACAGAGCTGTACAACATCCACACGCATCACTGAAGTCCCTTCCCATTCAACTACACCAGTGGGCCCCAACCTGGTGCCCTCCAATACTTTGAGCAACTCCATCAGCCCTAGCCAGCAAGGCCAGGGGTGATGGGATTTTGAGTTGGGGGGCGGGGATTGGAACTGTACAAGAAAATCACAACTAGAACACGGAATTGTCAAACTCTCATTAAGCCCTTGCACAACCCTTTTGCAATGTAGACTAGCATCAATAAACACTCAATTCCCAGCAAATAGTATCATCCTGCAGCTGCTGATTTATTTCCTTTCTATACTGCCTTCTAGCCAAAGCTCTCTAAACAATTTGCAACAATGTATAAATGTGCAATATTTGTTGTTATTAAGAACCAAGCCCAGCCTTTCATTCAGTGGCACCCTTCAGTGCCAACTGGTATTGCCAGTGGTCTGAAGTGATAGGAGCTGTGCTCCAAAACATCTCCAAGGCACAGGTTGGGTCCAGAAGTACAGATGATTTCAAGGTCAACATCAGGGAAGCTCACATCCTTTTACCTGAAAGGACCAACCTGTTTTCCACAGATTCTTCTTATAATAATTCCACTTTATGACAGAATTATGTTGTTAAAGTATATATTGTTTACCCAGAATAAAATTGACTTTATTAGGTGCTTAAATAAATAAAATAATAAATTCCTCAATTGCTTTAAGGGGCAACACCAGAACCCCTGAAGAAGGGCATATGTGTTGAAAACAGCCAACATAATTTTCCTGAACTTCTCCCTGATATTTAACAAGTGCAGTTCAACCAGCTTAACACTAACACACACACACACACACACACACACACACACACAGAGAGAGAGAGAGAGAGAGAGAGAGAGA